CTCGGTGAACAAACAGTTAAAAGTCTTCCTTACGTAATTTCATTTGATCTCTTTTCATTTAAGGAATCTAAAAATAAAATGTAGTAGCTCTTTCACAACCTCTAATTGCATGTTCACCCTCACTAAAGACAAAAAGAATCAAAATGAAAGGTTGTCACAGACCCGTTTTGGCGGACGGAATGCATCATTTGAGAAGACTCCTTCCCTTGGGGGAACGGGAAGGTGGAGCAAAAAGATAGCTCCAGATCCCTACCTCACAGAAATATGCAAATTGCAGCGACGTAACATGTGTTTAGAAGGAGGCTCTTGAAAGGCATTACGTAAGAGCGGCGCGGAACGCCCTCGGGCTGAGAAGGGAGAGACGCGAGGACGAAATTGCAGGCGGAGCCCTGTGAAACGCCGGGCGCCCCGGGGATATACACAATACATGGAAGCAATTAGGAGAGGTCCCTGCCCTGCAGGGAGCATTAGGAGCGGGAGAAAAAATCGGGCGGCGAGTGATGGCAGATCCCGGCCACGACGGCGAGGCGTTCTCGGGGCTTGTAAGACGGGGTTCCGAAGAATTATGCGCTGGCTGCACCCATGACAACATAGCATTTCGAGTTTCTCAAGGACTTTTAGAAGCTTACACATATCGATCAAAATGAAATTAGTTATAATAGAGTTAATTAGTTAATAATGAGTTAAAAATAAGTGTTGTCACATGCTTATTAAAGGCGCTGAAACTTTTCTGCGAAGATTGTTTTCAATAAATTAAACAAACGTTAAATACGTTTAACAAGAGACCATCACTATTTTTAATACCATTTGTGCGCAAATAATGCACTTAATTTTGTAGCCTCTGCTATCTAAGAGAACTCCGAATAATATGGTAGCCGCGCTAACGGTCTAACTCCTCAATTACAGATGCGGGACTAATGCGCTTAGCAGTTGACACGTCTGGAATCACTAATCAATCATCAATCGAAAAACAAGATGAAAAATAGAGAGCTTGTTATTTCCACTCGTTTTTGATTGACTGGCGATTCCGGGCGCGTTCCAGGCCGAATATCCTGGATTTCCAATTCTGAAGGCGGTGCATTTTCTGCACTAGTTAACTGGCTAGGTTGAAACCGACAAACCCAAAGGTCGGCTTCTCCAGTCGGATGCTTCTGGACTTTCCTCAATTTAATTCCATTATGCTTTGTTTTCCGAGACGAAGCCCAGACGATCAGGTCTGCTCTTCAACACGACCACGCAAATTCAGATACCGTCACCGTCTGGCAGAGAAAGGAGGTACCACTCGGGCGAAGAAACAGGCGATTTGAATTTTGCTGAGAGGTGTCTTTGAGGCTTGAGAATCTTTTACATGCAGTAAATCTACAACATGATACAGCCGGCTTCACTTCCCCTCTGGAGGAAGGCATATGAAGGATTATTTCACCTCACTTCGATCGGGATTGAAACGGCGAACTTGGGTATAACAGTCCGATACGCTAACCGTGACACCACCGAAGCCGAGTTCCTCCTATCGGTTCCGGGAGGATGGGCACGCATCTTGAACAACCAACGAGCTCTGTCCAACCACGCGCTCCTTCTATCAGCATTGCCCCCTCGCATTCCTAGCCCTAGGTGATGGGTTTATTTCCCATCCCCACATCCACCGTAAGAACTAATAATATCGTATATCGATTATACGTGCTGTTATGGATGATGGCATCAAAATCGTACTTGGAGACGGCGGTGCACAGGAAAATGACACATCCCAAAAATTGTTCTTTGGAGGATGGCTTTATCACTAGTAAAGCTGTTTATACAGCAACCGAAAGCAGTTTAATTCGAAACCAAATTATTCAAAATTGCTATCTGACAAAATTATTCGGAAATTGCTATGTGGAGCTTGTGTTATCCACGATAACGTTTCTACGAAATGAAATTTAGAAATTCTAGTTCTGAAATTATCCATAAAGATTATACTGGTCTTATGAAGAGTCAGTTTGAAACCTTCCCTTAGGATTGCCTACATTAACATGCTGAATTTTATGGCTGCACGATAATGTATTATGTATAAAGAATAGCGTCTGACCTTATGGCGTCTAGCGCACGATATGCACGGAATTATGAACCAGTGAGAGTGTCAGTAAATGTGTCACATTTGTCTTTTCTCCAAGGTCGTCACTTTGATGCAGGAAAGGTTTTATAGAGCCGAGCTTGTGTCATCTGATAATGTCTATCGACTGTTTATCACTAAGGGATTCACTATTGTTCTTCGCTGACGGGAATACTCTAACGGTTTCTCAAGAACAGAAGATACTAATTATCATATCGTGTTGCAGCAGCCTTTTAGATATCTAAAGTCCATTTTGAATCATCTATCTACGGCTGTGTGGTGAACAATTAGGGCTGGAACAAAATCACGATCTTTTTAAAATAAAAAAATAATATTTTTTATATAATTTAGATTTATTTGATTTAAATAAAAAATTTTAAATTGTACTAAATGTTTTACTTTGAACCAAAATCTGTGAGTTATTTATCCTTAAATACTTTAAAAGCAGAAAAGAGTTTATTAAAACATTAAAATTTATTATTATTTAACATTTTCAAATTTATGGTTAAAATATTGAAATATAAAAAAATATAGATAGTATAGTATATTTGAAGGGTCTGTTACAACACCGTCCTAACCCATAAAATCATTAAATTTGAGATACAATATACACAAGGTTAATATTATTAAAACTAGTAATATTAACAACCGTTTTCATTACTTTTAACAATATTAATTTTGTGCTTTAAATGTGCATTAATAAAATTCCATTTTTATTAATACTAATCTTAAAGATGCATTTATAATGGCTTTAGCAAACATTTTAAAATAGATTCTACGTCTAGAATAGTCTAGAATTATGGAAGCCGTTGAAGCTTTGAACGTGTTTTTCTCGAAACTAGTTCGGTATGTTAGGGGGATATTGCTGCTAAAATACTTATGTTCATAAAATTAAATAAAATGTTCATAAAATTAAAAATAAAAACTAATCAATCATCTAAGTCTATTTGTGTATAACTATAAAAATAAATAATGTTCATAAAATTAAAAATAAAAACTAATCAATCATCTAAGTCTATTTGTGTATAACTCTGCTACCAATTGTTTATTCTTCGTTTATAAAAATATTCATTTTATTGTATATTATAATGAATTTTGTATTCTCAAAAATTACTCAATTATATGAAAAAGTTTATAAGAACTATAATATATTCTTTATTTCAACTTTTTAATTCATTTAAGTATTTTTACCCAAGTAATTTTTATTTTAGAAATATATTTTCTAATATTACAAATAATAAATATTGACTTACATCGTTAATTTTTTAATAACGATTTGGTTTAAAAGGATTAATTAAATAAAATTAGTATTAAAAAATTAACGATTCAAATCGATATTTATTATTTGTAATATGTGAAAATATATTTGTATTAAATTAATTATTATTAAGTAGATTATATGATTTAAATAGTACCATCCCTTTGAACAATATTAATGACATATTTATTATTATTTTTTAACTGCTGACATTGCTTAGAGGCCAATGTTTCTGCAAGGTCTGTGATCGCGAGGCCCTAGAGTTCGAATACCGACGGCGACGGATTATCGGCACTGACTGTGTTGTTAGGCACAATTCAACCGCTCTCTTGAGGAGAATTCTAGTGGCGGCTGCTCTGGGAGATAGGTTTCCGTGGTTTTTTCTATCAACAACAGGCGAACACCCGAGCAGTACACTATCAATCAGGTCACTGGCCACGTACGCATTATCATTCTCGTCGTGGCCCCTTCCTCGTTCTAATGTACACACACTTACATTCACTACACTACCACACATGAAGAGCGACCAATCGAGAGCTTGGGTGTGACTGAGGGTGTTGCTTCAATGGGAGAGATACAAGAAGCTAAAGAGGGGAACCCCAAAGACTGGCGTCAAAGTCGACGGCGGATCTCGATTCCTAGAGAGAGGGAGAAACACAGTCAACCCCGCAGATATTAGATGCAGTACACTTACGGGGCTAATGATCATTGCTGTTGTCGGGCCCAGAAATACTGAGCTAGGGGTCCCCAAAGGGGTCAGTATAGACCCCCTGATGGTCGTCCAAATTTTGAAGGGTGTCAATGTCCAAGAAGATGTCGATTGGGGGGTCAATAGCCAAATTATGAACCGACACCTTATCAGAATACACAAGATGACATTGATAACAAAATACTAATCAATTTAATTAATGGTTTTCTGGTGGAAAATAACAAAGCGTATAATATTAAATTACAAATTCTCTCTTCTTTTGTACTCGTCTTTCATGCTTAGAGTTTAGGATGTATTGAAAACTCAAAATATTATATAACTTTGCGTTGTCAATGATACTCTAACGCGAGTGAAAGTACACTCCGCAACATGCACTGAAGAAATTTTATGTCCAGTTCTTAAAAGAAGAGTCAATATTATCTAACCATTGCTTCTCAATGAATATTACATTCTCAGCAACTCAAAAACGGAAACATCGTCGATAATTGAAGAATCGAGATATTTATGAGAATATAGGGGTATGAAATTATTATCTTTAAGGTATTTATGTGCAATACTTTGTGTCATGATTATGGATGTTGTACATGTATAATAAAGACAAAACATAATAGGGTGGTTGATCAAGCAAGCATTCTCTTAAAAGGGTTAATGAAAGAAAAAGGTTGAAAATCCCTGCACTAAACAATCTCTAATTATACTACAAATATTTTTATTGGCCGATGACATTAGGTCATTGTTACACCCCCTGCGTAATATAATGAATCTTTTTAACCGCGGTAAGCACTTTTCTGACGCCACGAGCCCAGTTGAGATTCACTTTTGAAGGCAAGAAGAGTAACAATGCTACCTAATGCCACCGGCCACTTAAAAAAATCGAAGTACAACTGATATTTTTTGCGTTTAGAGCAGTGTCTCTTTGTTGAGCGAATGACGCGAGGGGCTGCGTGTGTGTGTGTGTGTTGCAGGGGTGCGCGAGGCCCTGGCGGAGGACAGCTGCTCGCGCGCCGCGGGCAGCCGCTGCGACCACCGCTGCGGTCGCGACCGCGACCCCGTGTGCGGCACCGACGGCCGCACCTACCTCAACCGCTGCATGCTGCAGGTCGAGGTCTGCAGGTGAGCGACACTCGGTGGCGCTCCACCACTGGGCGGAGCGGGCCGGTCCCTAGGAATAGCACGGGGCAGCAGCCACCGCTTGCCACCGAGATCACGAGCATCATCCGCATCTTCCTCCTCCTCCTCATCTTCCTTCTCCTTCTCCTCCTCATTTTCCTTCTCCTCCTCATCTTCCTTCTCCTCCTCCTCCTCCTCATCTTCCTTCTCCTCCTCCTCATCTTCCTTCTCCTCCTCCTCATCTTCCTTCTCCTTCTCCTCCTCCTCCTCATCTTCCTTCTCCTTCTCATCTTCCTTCTCCTCCTCCTCCATCTTCCTTCTCCCCATCCTCCTCATCTTCCTCCTCCTCCTCATCCTCATCCTCATCCTCCTCATCATCATCCTCCTCATCCTCGTCATCATCCTCATCCTCATCCTCGTCATCATCCTCATCCTCGTCGTCATCATCCTCATCCTCGTCGTCATCATCCTCATCCTCCTCATCCTCCTCATCCTCATCCTCCTCATCCTCCTCATCCTCATCCTCCTCATCCTCCTCCTCCTCATCCTCCTCATCCTCATCCTCTTCATCATTATCTTCATCACTAGATGTTTAACGTCGATGAACCCGCTGACATTACTCCGACACCCCTTCCTTCTGGTTAACTCTCAGACATTGTGCCCCCTGGGGCATTCAACCTACTCTCCCAGCCGTCACGCCAGAGCAATGTCGGTTGGAAAGGTCGTAGGTTCGAATAACGCCTCGCCTTTGCCTTGCGCCAAGCCATGCTTGGGGCGTTTCCAAACCATCATGGATATCCTCAAGAAACAACCATTCCTTGACTTTCTTATCCCTAGTCGAAACGGCTGTATAAGATAACAAAGTATGACAACCAGTGGACAGATGAAGGAAGCAACCTCAACGGGTCTACAAGAGGGACGAGTGCGCCATCTGTGCCTCCCTAAGCGCCCTGCGCAATATGTCAAGCTCGCTTCTGGGAAGACTTGGTTCGTAGAGAGGGGCACAGTGAGCCGCCGACAAAGGAAATGAAGAGGGGGGACGGGGGCAAGTGACCTCAGACTTCCCCGCAGCATGAAAGCCCTGAATCCAGCTCGCTGGTGTGGGCGTGGTTGCGATGCGCGCGGTATAGTGGGGCTGGGAGATTTCCATGCGTGTGTCTTCGTGGAATTGCGCGGACATTGCAACGCAGTGGAGAAGAGCAGTTGTGAGTGGGTAGTGCCTAGATTGTGAATTCGATGCGTAATACTAAAATACTCTTAAAAGAACTAGTTTCATGAGTTTTTCGTGTCAATTGAGCACCTATTAAATTTTTACTTACTAATATTACAAATCCACTTAAATTTCATTATATATTTCAATTATTACTGTACATGGGTGACTTATTTGAAATACCATTATTAAATCAAATAATGCTCTTTTCTTTTGATTTCGTAAGAAGTGTTACAGTGAAGACTTTAAGAGGACGTTAATCAACTGTAGGAAATTGAAAAGTTTATTACGACGAAGTAATAAAATTTCTGAAAAAATCTGAATTTTGTTTAACGATGTTAAAATATATGCAAGAAATCTGTATTACACATTCACTTACAAACTGTCACCCCAAATTACTTACTAAAACATCTCGCTTGTATAATGTGATCATAATGTGATCACATTTCTAAAGGATATAAATTTATTTGATACATTGTAAAGAATTGTGTATTTAGTCGCTAATGATCTTGCAGTTAATGCGACCCAAAAAATGAAGCTCATTAAAAAAAAGAAATCTGTTAATATTTTGTGTTGCTTCCCTCAGAGTTGGTATCGCGCTGTCGCATCTCGGGCCATGCAACAACATCTCCGCGCATCGGGAGAACTGCCCGGTATCGTGCGACCAGGCGCCGATAGATGGTCCTATCTGCGGATCGGACGGCAACGTGTATAAGAACACTTGCCAAATGAAACTGCTCACGTGCGGGTAAGTTGTTACAATGTTCCTTATGTACGATTCCCAACTATCACAAACACGTCGCAAATAATTTGTATCAGTTAAACGCCCTTCCCAAAAAAAACAAAATTTTTGTGGTTGTTGTTTCGTTTAATCTATTCCTCTTTTATATTATCGCGATTAGTTCACTGGTAACTAGACAATGTTTTGTGCAATTGCCACATAGGATCACAAAAACGCAAGTCTATACATAGCGTTTCAATATGTCAAAAATATGTTCTTGCATTAGAATTATACACGAATGTGTTAAAAAATTTCAAATGCATGACAAGGAGATTGTCAGTTCCTTAGGTTTCACCTTCCGATAGACGAGAACTCAAGAAATTAAACTTTACCACATATCAGTGTCTAATGAGAATTTATATCTCAAAATGCAAAATATTAATTTTTTATCAAAAACTTCGCGAACAGTATTTTTATGTTCTTCATGTCTTCCAAGGAAATAATACTTATCTGTTTTTTGTATTACTAATTAAATGACAATATTCACGAGATTAAAGAAACTACTCAATTAATATTTCACATTTTTCTAGTGGTTTCTTTTGCAAGATGTTTCAGCTTATTCTAGGAGCGCACCCGGATTTTCACTCTTCGTTTCGCAGCAGAAGTAATGCTAATGCGATTTCTGTGCGACAACACAGCGGGAGACGCAAAGAGACATAGTGGAGAGGAATGTGGAGGGCTCTGGTGGTGTCCTGAATCTAAATCTTTGCCCTTCTACCAGACTGCGCCGTACATTCGAAGAATTTGATGTGTACCAAGAGACTCTTATCCCACGCTCGATTGGCCGCGGCAAATATTCACTTCCCTTAATGTTCCACAACTATCCGACGCGCTGCGAGGAGGGCGAGCACCAACAGATGTAGGCGAAAGCTCCCAGCTTTCATCCTCACCTCACAGGATTCGGCAAGCATTCGATTTGTACTGGCATCCGTTCCCGACAGTCCTGATTTAGGGCGCCACCAGGACACCATCTTTCTTCCATTCTTTCTGCTGACGGCTCACGGAAATCGCAATGGCATCACTTCCGTTGAGATTCCATGAGTGTCCGCTAGAACAAGCTCAAAAGATATTGTACCGACGAAAATTCTACAAACGAAAGTAGTTCAAAGAGGATGAAGAATTTGAAGGGTTTGGGGAGAGATGAATAGTAAGCCACACTCTAGCATTTTTGACAAACTGCTCATTTAAATATTAGGCGAACACGTGGAAGCGAATAGAGGGCAAATACAACCAATCAGGTGTTATCGTGCCATACTGGTAAAAAAGGGGATACTCCTACTGAATGAGAGAGAAGAGCTCGCGGAACATTGTGGCCAACCTCACTATCGACGATTCCTTCATTTGGTGCGTATTTTAATACTCTCGCCTAATTAGTATACGAAATGGTTATTCACGGAATATGTATCATGAGACATCTTATTACAATGCGAGTTAGACAATTATCAAACAAGGTCTTAGGCTGGCGTACGTTTCATCCACTTTGAACCAATCAACGACAATGTTTTTTCACACATTCAGATGGCCTCCTACTGTCAATAACAGTATTGTCATTTATATAATACCTGTCACACACACACACACACACACATATGTATGTATATGTATATATATATATATATATATATATATATATATATATGTGTGTGTGTGTGTGTGTGTGTGTGTGTGTGTGTGTGTGTCTGTGTGATTTTAGTAGGCCTTGTATTTAATGAATGCCACGGATTAATAGCTCACTTGTGCTCTATTAACTCTAAAAACGACACTGATGTCAGTTTCGTGAAGATTGCCTTTCGATAACCAAAGTGGATAAACCGCATTACGGTCAGCCCTCTGCGGGCCTTGGGCGAAAGGCGAAGCCGGCCGCGGCCGTGACCCTACCCGGCGCCTCCGCGCGTCGCGTTGCAGGCAGGGCGTGGTGCGCACCAGCAAGAAGTACTGCCAGACGACGCGCCACTGCCGCGAGTCGTGCTGGCGCGTGGCCAAGCCCACGTGCGGCTCCGACGGCAAGATCTACAGCAACGCGTGCCGCATGCGCGCCAAGAACTGCGGCAAGCACGTGTTCGAGGTGCCCATGTCGTTCTGCGTGTCGCACGAGCGCGTCGCGTCGGGCTGCCCGGTCGCGTGCGACGGCGAGCCCGAGAAGCTCACCTGCGGCTCCGACGGCCTCGTCTACAGCAACGAGTGCGAGCTGGCGCTGCTCAACTGCGGGTGAGTAACGCGCTGCCACGCGTGCGTGCCCGGTGGGTCGAAATTGCGCGACTGCTCTCGTCGAGCGGGGAAGAACAAATTACATTTATTTACGAGTACGGTAGTGGGTGGGCAAAGAGATGGATGGGCTACTCCGGTGGACCGATTTTTGCTCGGTCTGCACAGCACCAGCTTTCGTCACGAACCACGTGACAACTGAGGCACTTCGTTTGGAAAGCCAGACAAGACGTTGGCGAAGTGTCAGAAAGTTTTAATTTTTCAATGATAACCAACCACAAATAACACGTCGAAAGTGTGATAGAAGTAAAAAATGAAATATTCTTAAAAAGTGCTTCGTGTATCTGTATAAATGGTTTGTTACCCACGCAAGCTGGTGCCTAGAGCTCATTGGCTGAAGTGAATACAATGGGCAAGAATCCAACCATCACTTTCCACCATGAACAAGATCGGACTGATCTCCATAATCATATATCAAACAAAATGTGCCAAAAATTAAATAAAATAAAAATCACGTAAATAACATTATGACGCATGAATTGACGTTATAAAGACGTTGCATGATTTCCAAACTTGAAACATATGATTGCATTCCCTGTTGACCAGCTTAGACATAACGTAAGTACTTCAACTGAAACACTATATCAGGTTTGGAAACAGAATTTTAGAATTATATATAAAAGTTGCGTCCTGCATTATTGGCTTTACAACTATTCCACAAAAGTTACAAGATTTACTTCCATTAAACATTTAGACTTCCTACATTTGAAGTCATCTTCAGGTAATATCAATTAATCTAGGGGATTATATTCACGTAATATATTAATATCGTGTCTAAGCGAGTCACCATTGCATGTATTCTTGTTTCCATTTTGTAAACATTCCTAATCATGTTATGCCTCTCTTACGTTAATTCAGATGAAACATTTTTATGTTCTAGATTTTTTTCCATTTTTTAAAATTAACTGTTTTTAAACACAAGGCCCGCTTTTTGATTGATACTGTATGAATATTTAGTCCAATCTCGGCTGGTCATAAATATGCATAATTTGTCTATCACAGTGAAAAGTGTGTAGAGTGAGAAGAATAACTGTAGAACCCAATTATCCGAATCGATGTTGGGAGGAACAATTACACTTAACTTGTGTTCCATTTTTGTAAATATCTTACATTTAAAATTTTATACGTTTTGCAGATCTCATATCCAACCAACTTTAACAAATAAGGCATCAAAGGAAAGAATTTCACGGAGTTATGACGAATTGCACTTTCACTCTATGAATATTAATATTCGCTGAAAAAAAATTATCTAAATTTAGTAAGAGCAAATGCAACTTGCAACACACTGACTGCTTAAAGGTCCACTACCCGTCCCAGGGCTCATACCTGAATAGTAATGGAATTGTTCCCAATAACATGTACAATTAAACATTGATCACCTGCACCAGAACTTGCATACACGTATGATTTCAAACTATTAAAATATGGAAGTGAAATGTGAAAACATATCAATCTTAGTTGAACAATTTGATAAAATTTGAGTTTTCCAACATATTGAAAGAAAATACCGGTATTTAAAAAAATATTTCCTCTTCCCGCTCATGGGCGTCGCCGCCGGGGGGGGGGCAAGGGGGACGGTTTTTTTTGTAGAGGGGATAGATTGGGAGGTACTATGGAAATTCTTACCTAATCTATTGAACTGCCCCCCTCCCAAATAATTAAATGCTGGTGACGCTCGTGTTCCTGCTCACGCCAGATAGACGAGGGGTGAACCCAAAAAGGAATAATTTTAAAACATTAGCAAAAGCAAATGAACAAATGGAACATGTAGAACGCGCTGTACAATGAGTGGTGTTGAGGTATATGGATAAGTTACCTTTGGCAGAAGAAAAGGCCAATTTGGTATGACTAATCTGAGTAGTTTCTGAGGAGCATTTCCAAGTTGACGGCGAGACTTCAGTCCCTAGTAACCGATACACAACATTCGTGAGTGAAACAAACGCAAAACGTACTTCAAAACTAAAAAAAAAAAATGTAAGTATCAAACGCATTCTCACGCATAAGTACGTATTTCTACTTATCGAATTCATAGTATTCCACACGTGTTCCATTTATCCACAATCCTTAGCTACTTGTCCAAAACCACCCGCCCCTCTTCCCCCCCCCCCGTGTGGGGAAGGGCTGGCGGGCGTGCCAGCACGACGGCTAACGTGCGCGCGCGCGTGCGCGTGGGTGTGCGCAGGCGGCAGGCGAAGCGGCGCGTGACGCGCGTGGACCTGGAGAAGTGCCGGCCGCGCCTCAACAAGTGCGAGAAGCTCAAGTGCGCCGAGGAGAGCCGGCGCTCGGGCCCCGTCTGCGGCACCGACCTGCGCTCCTACGCCTCCACCTGCGATCTGCAGCGCGCCACCTGCCTGTACGTACGCCGCCGGCTTTCTCTGGTCGCCGTCGCGGATGAGGCCCGTTCACAATGCACACATGAACATGTGCATGGCGTTAATATTAAAGTTTGGACTACGTCTATAAGCGGACTCATTAACGTATTCAAGCATAACAAGTTAAGACGTTAACTTAAAAGCTTGCAAGCTTCTGTGCTAATGCTTAAGTAAAACATAAGAAATTAACCAATCACAGAACGTTACCTCAAAATCGAGAATCGAAAGAGGAGCGAAGTCGATAGACGAACTAACGCCATATGAGACATAGACACAGTCGATACCTCGAAATCGATCCTCACATCCAACAATCGTAAACTAGAATGTCTCATAGCCAAAAGAAACTTATTACGCTTACGTTGGACATTGCGAATAATTCAGTCTATCACTTATGTTAATGTTTACTTGTATGCGTTATGCTTGTTTACGTTTGCATTGTGAATGGGCCTTTATTGGTTATATAAACGTGCTAGAATATTCCATATAGATTGGCTGTCACTGTAGTTTCAGCTCTCTTAGTGGAGGGTCGTCGAACTAGTGGCCGTCATGTTGTTTTAAGTCAAAACATACGAGTGGCGGTAGGGTGTAACCGTCCGTAATCATTGGCCGTAACCAGCGTCAGACGTAATGCTAGAATACTTTGTTTCCCAAAGGGCGCTGCTTTTGCTGCAAAAAATACGGATTCAATTTGCTTCAAATGGAGGCGCTTCAGCCACTCTATGTAGTATATTCTAGCTCGTTGGGTTAGAGCCTTTATTTTCATCCTTGTAATACTGTTTTATCTTCTTCACTTTTCATAACTGCAATTACGTGTTTTCTTCACTTTTCATCGCTGCAATTACGTGTTTTCTTCACTTTTCATCGCTGCAATTACGTGTTTTCTTCACTTTTCATTATTGAAATCACGTGTTATTTTCAGTTTTCATCATTGCGATCAGGTGTAATATTCTACACTTTTCATTAATCATTTCTCCCGGTGTCCATTTTGCCTTGCATAACCTTAATCACGCATATTGATTTATTTTCACATGTTATCTTCTTCACTTTTCGTTCGCGCAAAATTCTGTTATTGTTTTACCTTCTTCACTTTTCATCACTGCAATAACAAGTCATCTTCACTTTTTATCATAGTCATCAGAATCACTCGGTATTTGCTTCACTTTTCATCATCATACCCACCTTTTACCGTCTTCACTTTTCATTATCTTGATTTTTATCGTTGTATTTACGTCCATCACGAAATCGTCGATGTGTAATATAAGTGGCACATCCCAAAAATTGTGATTTTGTTGGAGAACATTTTTAATCTGCGCAGGATATTTTATTTTCAGGACAAAGCAAGTGTTTAACTCTATATAACAGCAATCATGACAACTATATTTTTATTAATAAAATATTGCAGCCAATGAACACATTTCTTTCATCTCAAAACCGACGATTTTCGAGATGAGTCACTGTTCTTGCAAGTCATAACCCTTAATGTATGAAAGCTGTATTCGTGTTGTTCCCGACTCGCTCACTAATTCCGCGCCCGTGCGGCTCCCTAGGAGGGGCGTGCAGCTGGCGCATAACGGCTACTGCGCCAACCTCACGCAGGACGAGGAGTGTCCCAAGACGTGCCCGGAGCCCAGCGACCAGGACAAGCCCGTGTGCGGCTCCGACGGCAACGTGTACAGGTGAGTGGCCTTGCAACGCGACCCTCCTGCACGCGCGCGACCTTTTGGTCGGAGTTTGATTTCATTTATTTTCGTCAACAAGTAGTCAAAATATATGTTACGTATGGGGAAGGGAAGACGAATAATCTCCGAACTTCAGAATTCCTATCCCCACTCTTTTATAATATTTAGTTGAATCATAAATGAAGGTATTAATAAAACGTGATTAGCAACTTTTGCAAAGTAGAAATATTCGCATCTAAACAATAGAAAACTGAATAATATAATAGAAAACTGAATAAAATAAAAGAATATTTGCATCGGAAAAGAAAATACAGATTTGATTTTATAACATTGCTCATAAAATAGTAACCTCAAATCCAATTAGTGATTCATAGCTGCACGTCATAAATATTTGTCACAACTGATCGCCTTCTGTCAAAGCCTGTGTGAAAAATCGTTGTGCCCGCTTTCACATGCAGAACAATCAGCCGCATCACAATGCTTACTTTCTTCGTATTTTGGGGTTCACTGACCGGTGAAATTCACGCGTCGACTTCAAGAGTTCCAAATACCGAACACTAGAAGACACCATAATCTTGTCCCAAAACGACAATACGGACGAGAGGAAACAATCTCAACCAATTTGTATCATATACACCATTAGTTTGCCCGGAATAGTAACAAAAGAGTATAAAACAGTTTGGGCACCTTCCGCTATGACACTGATGATGAAAAGCACTCTCGGCATATCAGATTATTCGAAAACTTCATTGTTATCTTTTAGATCTCAGCGGAGACTACACTGGTTTATTTATCAGTATTATTCTTGTCTTTTACTCTAGTCTTCTTTCCACCTCATTTGCTTCTTTCAGTTCAAAAAGGAGACACCCACGACTTTTCAAAGTTGCTTTCTCTTCACTAGAGCCAACTATATATTTCAATGTTTCGTCAACTTTCGTTGTAGCGTTCCCAACAAGAGTGATTTTTCTCCTCGGCTTGCATGCTACCTCCATGAATTCATATATATTTCATGACAATTCCGTTCAAAATTACGAAAAATTATATCTATTCTAAATGCAATGTTTCAGTCGACTTTGTAAAATCATAGCGAGAGAGACGGTTTCATTTTATAAATGGACTTTCATTCACAGACTTTATGTAAGTGCTTATTATCTATATCGCATTTTCGAGCGTTTATTTTATTGGGAAATCAATTATCATAGTTACATAATTGTTAGTGATATTTGTTTATTTTGTTGCTAATTGAACTTATTTCCAAAGTGACAAACAAATTTTCATGAAGAGTAAGTATTCACATTCAGCCTTCTGGTTCATAGTAGGATTCAACTGTTTTCAGACACAATTTATCATAAAAGCAATACAATTTTTGAACACGATATTTGGCAGCACGGCAGAGAAGCGTCTCAAGAAAATATTGATTCGTAAAACTCCAAAACGAACGGAAACTTAAGACACGTCATTTTGCCAATAAACTCTTAAATAACTCTGAATAACTCGCGTCTTGTCACGCCTACAGTTAAAGAGGAGTTGCTCTAAGAAGGGACCACTTTGACTGGTCGGAAACAAATGAACATCATGCAGGGCGATGACATTGCAAGAGATAGAGATAAAGCCATTAACAAAAGATCAAACTGTAAACGAACGCACCACCAAAATGAGAGCATGTCCATAACCTGCATTTATGTTGCCGGCAGTGGCCAAACAGTAGCTGTCAAAGCGGTCCCTTCTTATAGTAATCTCTCTATAACGGGAGGCTTCAATCGGGACACGCCCGCGTGCCAAGTGTCTGCAAGGCCGTGGTGTTCGTGCGCAGGTCCCTGTGCGCGATGCAGAAGGACACGTGCGGCCAGAAGGTGGTGCCGGTGGACCCCAAGCACTGCCCGACGACGGCGCTGTGCAACGAGGCGTGCGGCGAGGCGGAGCAGAAGTTCGTGTGCGGCTCCGACAACCGCTTCTACCGCTCCCAGTGCGAGATGCGCAGGGACAACTGCGGGTGAGTCCACGAGGAGAGCCCGGGCGCGGCTACTGCTATGGTCAGCGGTCTCGTTAGTGGGGTGATGTTTCTACCCCTCGGTGTCACGATGATTTCACCTCCAGGTATCTCCCCCAGCGGGGCAGCTGGGACAAGCTCTAAGCTCCCGATAGGTCTCTCGACTAGTTTGGGAGTGTAGAGCATGTAAGTGTGTGGGTGGGCGGGGAATAGCAAAAGGAAGAGGAAGGAAAGATCGCGCGCGATCCTTGGTCCGTAAAGATATTGTCTCGGCATTCGCCCGGTACTGATCGGAGAATCTACGAAAAAAACTATTGATCAAAGAAGCCGGCCGCTAAAATTCTCCTCGGCGTAGCCACTGATTTCAACCCAGCTATGTGGGCTGTGTCGAAAATCCGCCACTGTCGGACCTCTAACCTTGAACTTCCCGATCAGAGTCGGTGGCAATGCTGGCTCTGTGCTTAACTCAGCCGGAAGGGGGGGGCGGCACACGTTCGCGCGGGCGAGTAGGCCGGACAGTCACGGATCCATTATGGAGTTCTATCCACTATGGACTATGGAGGTCATGCCGCCCGCATCACACGCTAACTTTTATGTAATTTTACTCAATTTATTCAAAACAATTATCATTCACAGTTCTCACCCCAAGCAGTATTCCCATTATGGATATATTCGTACATATTTGTGGTCACATTTTGTCTTCAGGGCTGAAATGAAGCCTCATCATTTCAGCACTGTAGAAGATCAGGGGTATCAGGTCACTCTGCCCAGAGCAAATAACTCGAGTGAGACTGAGAGCAACAGCTGTTGCCAATTTTCCATTGCATTCCTTTCCCCTCCCTCTTCCTTCCCACATCCCTTCCTTCTCTTGTGTCCCTACCCTTTCTTTTCTCCTCCATCCCATCCTTCTTTCAAGAACGTTCCACTCTCCTCCCTTTGCATTCCATTATTGAATATTATATTCCTTATATCCTCCCCATGCCTCTTCCATTTCACCCACCCCTTCCTATCACTTTTTATTCGACTCCTCGTTATCTTTTCTCCTCTTTTGCATTAACCTCCCCTAGTTTATACTTTACACATTTCCTTCCTCATTCCCCTATTTATTCTCTCCCTTCTAATGCCAAATTTCTTCAAATAAAACTGTCGACACACCGAAGTGCCTGCACACCATTTTACTCGTATAGGGGGGCTTTGTCGGTCTAACCCTCTTAAACAGAAACATGGTTGACAACCGCCTTTACTCTTATATTGAGAATCATGCACTTTAATACTTTTCGTAAAAAAATTATTTTAGCGAAAAGTTTTTTTTTCTAAAAGACAAAAATCCAGAATAATTCCATTTCCGTTTCTGGTTGAAAGACGTGCATTGTGTCAGTAACTTTGTTTATCTTTATGTTAAAAACACTAAGGGATTTAATTTAGAATTTGTTGTTATTATTATTATTATTATTATTATTATTATTATTATAAGAAGTAAAATGATAATACTAAGTAAATTTTATTATAAAAATGAAGCAAAACAAATCTTGAAATGTTAAATTATTTTGCAACTAAAAATAGTACAAAATCTTTATCTGTAACAAGTATTGTTATATAATTATTAGGTCAATGGCCCCATCTCGATCAGGTTTTTTGTCCAGTTTCCCTGGTCCTTTGAGCAAAATCTGAGATGCCTAACCCCTTGTTTTGCTTTTTGACAGTAAAGTAACTTCCCTTTTTGCACTCAAGATGTGTGCAATTGTACTTCCTCCGCATTCATCATATTTGACTCAACATACACAACTGAAATTTTCTATGTGATTCAATAGTCAATAAATATTATTATTATGTGCGTATTGGCCATTTCTGACTACACTACACGCTCTCTTTCGAGTCTCGGGTATATTCCATCTCGGGGAGATTAACGGGTGTCATTATAGAGATCATCTCTTCGGCTGTATCCCTTCGTACGACAAGGTCGTTCAATGTTAAGCCTTGAATTATGAGGTGATGGGATGAAGGTGAGTAGTGATCTTGAACTTTTTGAATTTTTCCAACATTCTCAAACGTTCTTGGTTTTGTGCAGTAAGTAGCGAAGTGAAAAATGTCGAGTTCTTAAATGAAGATTTTAAAATGCAAAGATTAGCTAGTGTAGTGAAATGTCAAGCAATCGTTCGAAACTTGTTTCCTTTCACAACAAAATCGTTAATTATAATTTTATGAGATGCATTACGACTTTAAATTAAGGTAAATAGTACGGTTTCAAACTTTAGTTCACTACAGCATGTCTAGATCTTACTAAAACTTAGAAAACAGAAATATACAATTTCATTTTCGGAGTTTACAGTGAATAGAGACTATTATTCCAGAATTTGTAAACCACTCTCATTCATTAATATAAGTACTAAACGACATGAAACAATATTTTTTTTGGGGGGGGTGATTTTCCCTATAGGGCATGTGTTTTACTTTTCAATGTAACATTTCTTCATTTTTTCCACTTGTGCGATGTAATTTACAAGGGTATAACTTGAACACAAATGACTATTCTATTAAGTAGATGAAAACTTGTAACATTTTAAGAAGTTAATATGTTTTGTTAACTTTTATCTCCATCGTCTGAATGAATTTTGTTGTGTGTATAAAGCTGTTCAATTTCTTTGCGCAGGAAACACGTGTACGTCGTACCTATCAAACGCTGCCTCACCGGCTTCGTCTTCCGGGGCTGTCAGCGAATCTGTTCCACTCTGTACGATCCAGTCTGCGGATCTGACAACAAAACCTACTCCAATGAATGTTTCCTGGAGCTGGAAAACTGCAGGTCACGTGCTCTGGTGTCAAAGAGTTATGACGGACGTTGTGGACAACCGGAGAACAAGCCTCGCAACTACTTGTATTGAAAAGTGATGAGAACATATTTTTGACTTTTCTATTTTTTTGCTCTTTGAAAATGTTGCAAGCTCGAATAGTTTTGTGATATAAAATAAAAGGCAACCATTGATAAGTGAATGAGGTAAAAACTCACATTTTATACATAAACAGATTTGCTCAGATAATCAGTCAAATGTGTGGTATAATGCACATTTATGAATGTTAAGGTCAATCAACAAAACAATGTGATGAAACCTCCACCAAAGAAATACTCTTCTTTGGAAGAAGTGAACACTACAAAGTGCTGTCCATGACTTCATTTTTGACTTCCTTTAATCAAGATGGCAGGAAGGCTATAAAATGAAAACAACTCACGAAAACTGAATGTGTATTGATAAGCGTTCTTTGAACGCTTTCATTACAAATGAAATATACTCATATGTTATACTGAAGACTATATTTCATAGATTTTGTTGTTTGTGAAGAGATTTAGTTTTATACCTTGAAATCAAAAAGGTTTAATGGATTTTATTTTATTATTGGAGATATGTCCGAAAAGTCTTATAATTAAACACATATCTTTGTGCCAATTTCTCATTAAGTTTTTATAAACACATTCAGACAGTTTTAAAAAATTGCTTTTTTACAGGGATCCTTTCATTTTCAGATTTTACTTACTATGATTGACTTTTCCTTACATATTCATTGTATAATTAGCTTTGTGCATTACAGTTTTCTTCTGTAGCTCTAATATGTTCCATAGAAGACAAAAAGTAGAAGTGATAGAATGTAACAGAACAGTCTTGTCAGAATTGATACATTTTAAGCAAATTGAATGATTGTATTTATATTTATTTCTATATGTGTACTTTGTATTTATTTTATAAAATAAAAATGATTTTCCTAAAAGAAATACGACTACACTGGTTCTGAAAAATGTAAAAAGTACGTTCAACCCTGAATGCTTTCTTCTCCTCTTACCGGTTGCCGTTTCTTCTCTTACCTACTCACTTCATACAAAAGCTAGTATCGCTACAAGACAGTAAATGAAACAGTACAGTGCGGAAGACTTTAAAAATGATGATAAGAAATATTATATTCAAATACTGACGGTAAATTTTCGGCAACGACTGATTAGTTGAATCAAGAAACTACAATCCTGATATAATCCTAAAAGTCGGCTACTCTGAACATGTGATCTTCATATGATGGTTTCCATCTATTATTTTCTACTCGAATTTAAACTAATGTAACACAGATCCTTCCATTTTCCCTTGCGTCACCCTTGTCCCGACAGCAAGACTTGACAAACAGCGAAGTATATAAATAAATGGAACGCGTGTGGTATAAACAAACTGGTGGTGGATATTCAGAAATATGAAGACATACTTAACTTCGATTATTGTTCATGATCCCATTGAGTTATCAACAGTAATACATTAACAAGTTCATAGTTTGAACAATAATGGTAAAATCTCTTCAAAATTCAAGAGAGGTTATTCATAAAATGTCGACCTAAAAAGTAGGTAAACAATGTTGTCAGAAGCAAGGACTCCGAAGACGGGAAGACATGTCCCCGAACGCAGTTGTGATTTGTATTAATATGACAATTTTAACATTGCCGTTTTGTGTGTTTTGAAAATAAATTGCTACTTTTTAAATCGACATTTTATTAAAACACTTGAATTTTGAAAGGATATTACCATTATTGTTCCAACTGTTAACTTGTCGATGCGTGTCTGTTGGTAACTCGTGTTCCGTAAGTGCAGTGCATGCTTTCCTCGGGTTGTGGCTGTGATATTCCCCCGCTGTATGACGATATCCGGCGCCGATCTACCTGTCGACTAGCGGGGTTTCCCCAACCAAGTATCTCCCACCAGCGGGGCACTGTCTCAGCTGGGACAAGCTCAAAACTCCCGACCGGTACGAGAACATGGACATCGATTATTTGTTGTTAATGCTGAAAAAGTAGGGACTTTGTGCACATTGCCCGAAGGGCACGCACGTGACAGCAACAGATAAACATCAGCTGGGTTAGCCTACTATTTATTTACTTAACGTCAAAAACCGTTTAAAAACTTTACATGACCGTATGGAGAATACGTACAATCTGAAAACGTTTCCTTGACCTCCGGAAATACACTCTACGATATTTTACTAATCCATGTTGAATTATAATAAAAGCCACGAGCGTTTTTTTCAGAATCAGGCAAGACAGTCGCCCTTTGTTACAGAAACTATTTGCATCAGCAAATGAGTTATATAATCCTTACCATTGCCCAAGTAAAGAACCATTCACTACCGCGAGAACATGCATTTATTAATTAGTGATTCCGAGTGCGTCAGGACATTAATCCCGTAAGTGCAGTGTCGTTTTCTCACACAGATGTCAAATACCCGCAACATCACAAGAAAGGTGATTCGTAAAATTTACTTCTATTCGCCTATAAATTTATAATGCTGTTCTACGAAAAATAGTGTATGCAACTCGTTTGTGATGTTGCTTTATTGCATTCCTCCAAATTTGAAAACTCGCTCCTAACGTCACACGTTTTCAAAGTACGTACTCATGCAATAAAGCTTAACATTATAAACTAATTGCATCATAAACTACTATTTATTTTTGATGTTCAGTAAGGCAGGAGAAAATATTTTATTTAGCATTAAACTTTTGAATTTATGTGTTTCATGTCATCGGGCACTATGTAAAATAACTAAAATAATAAAATAAATAAAGTGTATCATATTTCAGTTTTTGGAAGCGATCTTTAAATCCTTAAATATTCCGAATTCCACGTGTGTTACAGTTATCCACCTACTTTAAGTGTTTGTACAAAAATATTACGACCCTTTCGTACTGCCGTACGCGCACGCGCACAGCAAATGAGGACTCCTCATTAAGGAATGGACTTTGGGTGTTGTCCCGACTAGAAGCGCGTACACTGGCATCGAACGCCGATGAGTTGGGTTGTGCAGTCCGATGAAACGTTGTTTCTGGACCTTGGAAACCGACAGCCATGTAGTGCGATTACCGCAAAACATCCGCTAGTATGGTAAAATATTCACTCACAATGTCAACTCACACTGGCACCTAACAGGGATTCGCAAACAAGTCGGGGCACCTCGCGGACAACGCCGCTTTCCCTGCAAGGGTTGGTATGTGCGTGTGTAGTGTGTGTGTGTGTGCGCGCGTAGTGCGTGTGAGCGCGTGTAGTGTGCGCGTAGAATGTGTGTAGTGTAGAATGTGTGTAGTGTAGAATGTGTGTAGTGTAGAATGTGTGTAGTGTAGAATGTGTGTGTAGTGTAGAATGTGTGTGTAGTGTAGAATGTGTGTGTAGTGTAGAATGTGTGTAGTGTAGAATGTGTGTAGTGTAGAATGTGTGTGTAGTGTGTGTGCGTGTGGTGTAACAATGTTTCAGGCTATCAAAATCCGACCTTTACTTGTAAGGATTAATACATGTCTGTGAGGAATTCGAATAAGAGTAGGTCATTAAAACAAACATACATTCATTTTATTCTCATAATAACACGAAATATCAAATTATTTTTGATATAAGAGATTATTATTGATAATTGAAAGTTTTATTGCTATTATGGGAATAAGATGATAATAGAAATAGATTTGAGGCGTTGTTTTGTCGCCAGTGTACATTTTGGCAGAAAGCTTCTTCTGTCGCATTGCGGGCATATTCAGTGCGATTGAGGCGTCTGGGGGCCTCGGTTCAAATAAGAGAGTCAGTCTTGTCTGATTGTTCCGGGAATTATTGATCATTAGTTGAGGTTGCCGCTTAATCGTTATTGTTATGAATAGGATAATTATGTAATTACATATTTTCGTAATGTAACTTTGTCAAGTCGAATCAACAATATCTTTACTTTTCATATCGGTTAGTTTCAAAAAACGTAGACTTTTAGTACATATTTTACCCGTAAGTACATTTACATATTTTACACAAAAAAACATTTTTTACATATTACGGAATTTTTCCATTCCCCTGTAATTTTGTTATTTAATTCTTCATTTTTACTATACGTTTTGATAAGGAATCTCCCACACAAACAATTCAGCTTTGTAAAACACAATTTTCTGTAGTCTCCTCTCTAAAATGCCGTTATTACATCGCGTTGGAATGACCCTGCCCTTAAATTCCGATGTTATTGCAAATAAAAAGGCAAATCGACAATGTAATCCCTGGTTCTGCTGTGTTGGTTTTCAGCGCGAGTATTGCAGAGAATACAAAGAAAGTTACGTTTGTGAAAATGATACGCTTAGTAGGAGATATCAAGCACCCACTTGCATCTCCCTTGACCTTAATTGGCCTTACCCTTGACGCTATACCAGAAACAATACGCCCAACGCACCCAGGAAGCGCCGATGAAATGTTTCTTTCCCCGATTGTCACTCGCGAACCTCCACCGTTGCTTGTAAATTATCTTTTTGAGCCGACAATCTTAAGTAAAATCACGATGTGGCACTGCAGCTTTTGGATTAAACCTTATGGGGCAGTGGTACCTCAGTGGGAATTTATCACAGGCGAGTACGGATGTATCCGTAGATTTTTATTTTCGAAATCCATGTCATATTTACGTCATATTCACTGAGAAAAGTTTCCGTTCGTATCTAGAAAAGTCTCTCTTTAATTTTTTTTTAAACTGACGAAAGGAAAATTGGGTGATAATTTTGAATTCCATTTTTGTTGCTTGTTTTGAAGAGCGGCATAATGTCAGCTGTGTTAAAAATATATGGAAAAGTTCCAGTGCATTAAATACGCGAGTTAACGGCTTTATAATGGCAGGCGCACAAGTCTTTAACAATCCGGAAATTCTTCTAAACTGGCTGAATATTTATTTATTTATTAGTTTACCAATTTTTTTTTAGAACTACGTAGGAAGAAGTTTCGGAAACGAACATCATGTCTAAATTTTGGGGGGTTAAAAGGGTAAGTCTCCTTCGTTAACTTAAGAAGTGTTACCCAAACGCAACTATCGAACTATTGCATAACTGTTACCCATACAATGGCATATTTGTGACCCGATGGAGTTAAACACAGTAATGTCTTCCTTCTAGTTCTAATGCAGCACCGTACACGTGCAAGGCGTTAGAAGCCCTGCAAGAGTGGTACCCAAAATTACCACTTCTAACCTCTCCTGTGCATGCTTTGTGTTGTAGAACTGATTAGATTTCACGTTGATAAAGTTGGATGGATTGTGTTGAATGAAGTCATGAACGTGTAATTTAAAAAAAGGATTAACAAGATCAGCCACTTGGATTGATTATAACAGCTACAATGCTGAAAAGGTTGATTTTATACATACTAGTTATACATAAATTTGATTCTGATGCTGCACTGCCCATAGGCATATCAAATCAATTGCTTGATGCTGAAAGCTGAAAAATTATTTGGCCCCATTTTTCAGCAAGCGCTACACGAAATCTTTGGAACTTTCTTCGTCTTCCTTGAAACTTTCTGACAGCCGTGAAATTGCCCACTTAGCAGTCGCTTCTTTAAGACCTGTTCACTTCATTCGAAGATAAATAAGGGATCTAGTGAAGAAAAAGAGGTCTTCGGTTGAGGAGAAAACCCCGGATTCGAAACAATTAGTGCAATGCAATGAAGGGACAATTCCACCACACTGGATATTGACCACACGCCAGAGGATCTGTGGAAGTTTAAATATGCACTAGTGACTCGTGCGGTGTACATTACTCTTTTAGACAGTACAAAACCCTCTTGCAAGATATGGGAAACGTTTCATTGCTGAAAAGTGAAACAAATATTTATTTCTTATTGTTACGGAAATTGTTACAAATAATAGGATTAGTAAGTGTATATGTTTAATTTTGGTCTTCATATTATGAAACGACAATATACCCTAAGATAAAAATATTTTAATAAAAACGAATTTATTTAAAGATTCGCATTTCTTACTTTTTAGATATTTCTGTATATTAAAATACATATATATGAACATATTTTCCCAATTTTAGTACATACTTATCCGGGCCCTAGTTATGTTACGGGAAGAGTAGATCAGATCTATAGACCTGATTATAATCGTCCTGATAAAGCACATTTTCGGTAGAATCATTTGTATTACATTAAAATATGTGCAAATATATTAACAATAAAATACACGCCTCCTCTCAGCTAGTGACAAACATTCTTGGCTCGTAGAACGAGTTTTCCGTCCCCACCGAGCCGAACTCACTCGCAAATAAAGACTTCTGTGGGCAAGGCTATCCCAGGAAATAGTTCTCAAGTCACCAGATCGCTTTCGCAAACGCAGCGTACTCCACCGGCCGATAACAAGTCCCCACAGAGGGAAAGAAGGGACTCAATGAGACAACTGCGGTGTACGTGAAGCGAATGCGTCGTTATTTCATAGTCATTTATTAAAAACATAATTTTACCTTAAATTGAACCCGTTCAAAGAGCGACTAAGTAATCTGACAAGGCGTTCCATCGCAGGTAGATACTGAATCAACGGTTTTTCCATCGCTCTTCCGCTTCTTATTCTGTTACAGTTCAAAATCGCTAGAAGTTACTTCGGTTAAGAATTTGAAGTCAATCTACGAAATGTGCCTGACCACTGGCTGCGAGGACAAGAGACCGCTCAAACGAGGAATGTCTATACTATCTTACGGAGAACTCCATGTTCTGCGAAAAAATGGCTGTGAATGGAGATGACTGCTTATCTAGCTGGCCGCTGAACGCGTTTCACTAATATTAGTCACCATAATGCAAGAAAATTACTCGCATGCTGATGTAGGCGTTATAAGGAAACGGTGCAGCTCCTTATACCGCTGACCATTGAAGTCCGCGCGGGCTTATAAAACACATGGATTGAGAATGACAATGTCCATTTAATATTTCAAAATGAAAAATACCTCTTGAAATACAATACAAACTTTCAGTTATTTAAAATTTATTATGTATTAAACCAGGGCATATTGATCAGGGAAGGCACTAACTGCCACCTCCAAGGTGCTGCTGATATTTTCACTTTATTTCACCTTACAGCATTTGAGGATTTTTCTTTCAGATATTGGATAACTACGATCCATTTGCTCAGCTATTATATAAAGTCGACATTTGCAACATCTAGGAATTTGATATTTACTTTTTGCCTCTATTACATTTTTTGTGAACAAAGTGACATGACTATTGTCGGCTACTTCTCTGACTAGAATTCCTGTATTTATGTGGAAGGAAAATCTCAATTCTGTTGTAAACAAGGTCCCGAGAATGAGGTTGGAAACGTTGGTCTTCTAGACAAAAATGAGTCTTCCTGATGTTGAAACTAAATAAAAAAGGGTCACGTATAAAATCCAGCCACAGCTTACTTACCTACCTCACTTGCAGACTTCTTTCTCCTCCTTAAAGATACAGCTGAACTTCTAGAAACACCGTTTGTATCACTCTGACGCGTCACCATATACCCGACACTCTCGGATTAGGTTCAAAACGACCGACTGGTCGGTCGATGAATGAATTCATCCAACGTTTTTGGCATTTGTTGCAAATGTCGCACACTGGATTGAATTATTTTCACTTGGTGTACTAACGTATATCACGGTTCACATCATGTTTTCAAATACGGAATTTAATTTCCCCCCCCCCCCTTTGTTGAGCCCAATGCAAAAATTCGTAGGTATGCTTTCCCTCATCGCCAGCAAATACATGAAATATTAACTTGTTTTTCCATCGTAAACAGTTCGTTATAAAAACGCTTCTATCACTGCATCACTAGTTGTCAAACACACGTACGTATTACCTTTAATACGATTCTGCCATATAGTCATAACTGCACAGAGAAAACTGCGATCGCGGCAGCTGCTCCATTCACAAAACGTATTTATCGATATATCTCACAAAACATTCGGGATCAGAAAACTTTCACCTACTCACAAGATTTCTTTTCAAGTTTCTCAAAAAACTGAACAAGTAATAATAACAACAAAACGGTTGAAGGAATAGAATCTGGAAAGAAACGTTCTAGCAGACATCGGCGCAGTGCACGTAGGTGCAAATATTACTAATATAAAAGAATTACCTTCCCATAACGTGAAAGGTTACTAAGCAGAAACGAATCGCAAACGAAAAATCCAACGATCAAGACACTAAACGACTATGTCGAACTCTCAAGAAATATTGTATTTAAATTTTCTGGAGTCATGTATCATATATTTGTAAATATCTCGTGTAGTTTTTCAAGAGGAACTGATCCTCGACACTTAAATACACGCATTTATTATTTAACCAAGTGCAATGGTAAACACATTTCTGCGGTGCATTAGAGCCCCAAACTCAAGTAAGAAATTATGAAAAATTTCAGTTAAACATTAAATAAATTTATTTAAAAAATATTTTACATGAATATTCTTGCTTTATTTCTTTTGCAAAACCATTAATTATTTCGGCAGTGTCAATGCAGTTTAAAATTTCTTTTTAAGATTGAAGTGATTTAGTCTTTCTTCTCCCACTGAATTTCTTAAATACATTTTTACTCTTGTTAAAACTGAAAATTATCTTCCTTTGAAGGCATTAGATGAAGGAATTATTAGAAAAAACTTCAATAATGTTTCGTTTGGAAATGTCCAAGGCTTTTCATTGAAGGCTCAATATAAATTATATGCAACACCACTATCACACTTTATACACATTACACAGATATTTACTTCCATTTATGGCCTTGGAAAGTGCACATTACTCAAGAGCATCATTGCCAAAAAGGATTAATTTTTTATAAAAAATTGAAGGTTCTGAGGCCAAACACTGCTGCTGTTAAACCCACCATTACCCCAAGCAAGCGTTTGCAAAATATCTTGAGTAGTTTTGCATGAAGAACTGATACTTGCTACTTTAATATGTGAATTTATTATTTAACCCAAAGGGTCAAAGCGATAACTGTAAAAAAAAAACTCTTCTGCTGTAAATTAGAGGTATTAGAAGAAATGGGTAGAGAATAAAGTATCACAATGCATTCAAAACTCCCTTGCCATTAATTAATCAGACTAGTTGCACCTCTTTCATACCAGTAAGCATAGTTTCTCAGTATACATCAAAATTTCATACCAAAGTGTGACAATTGTTTCCCTCTTGAGTGTGAAAATTTGTTTCATGATAATGTTTACCTTCATCTAAAACTAGTATTTCAAATCACAATTATTATGCTTCTCTCCTACTTGGACTAATAAGACAGCAGTACATTGCAATGTTTTAAATGGTTTGCAAAGCCTTTTGAAATGCAGCAGAATTACCTTGTTTTAATTTCACAGAATATCTATAAATAGAGCATGTTGCAGGATGGTTCTTATTACAATTGAATGCAGTCCTCAAAATTTTTCTTAAAGACATGAATTGATACTATTCTGCTGTTTTTCAATTTGTTTCTAAAATAGACCAATAGAAAAGGCCTAGTAAATCAAGGAATATATATATCATATAAATAATATACAATAATATTATTCATGAATGTTGGGATTGAGTTTCACAAGAATGGAGCCCTGAAATTTCAAAATGGAGAAATATAGGTTAGCATGCAGAGAGGCTTGCATTACTATTATTACTAATACATACTAATCCCCTTCTAATAAATAAACCATCAACAGTCAGTCTGACTTTACTGCAGGCAGTTTCATACTGAATGACTTAACATCCATAAGGGTGTTATAACACCCTTGTAGGATATTCGTTTTAGGGTAACTTTTTTGCTTAAACCACTCTTTACTTGTTAGGTCTTTGAGCCTCTTATTAACACAAGAATTGCTCTAAACTATAAACACACCTCTCTCAACAATCAAATATTCGACAATTGTTTTATTTGATAAGAAATATCTGGAGACTTTAAGTAGTCTCTCGGATTTTAGCTCCATTCAGTGCATACTTTTGTGAAACTTCAATGCACATGATCAGTGTTTCTTAAACCAGAAATTCAATTCTGGGTCTCTAGGAATGGACTTGCTTTAACTACTCATTGCATTGAGCATGCTACATATCATTTTATGGCTAATCAAACACACATTCGGTATCCATGAAAATGTTTATTGTACATGTTTTATAAATATGTTTGCAATTCCAACACAGATTGTCAACAGTCTCTGGCACAATGCACATTTGCAAGAGGTGAAGAGGTGACTTTCATGGAATCAGCTGGGAGGAGAGCTATTTTTCTATTTAGCTTGCACTTCCAATTCTCGTTCAACAATTCGCCGATATTCATCAAACCCACCTTCTATGCTACGTACACTACCAGACCCACACACCCACAGTTCTCGACAAACCATACGAATAAGTCGTTCATCGTGGGACACTAACACTACACCACCCTGTAAAAGATAAAAAAATGGATAATGTAATTTTTTCAAGTTATGAAAGCGAACACTTAAAGCATATGTGCTAATAACTAAAACATAGCATTTAATGTAAAACTAATGCATTAAATGGGAATCAAATACATATATATCCAATAAGAAATCCTGTTACTATAGCAATGAAAAGGTCTAACACTCACAGTGTACTTGTTGATAGCTTTGCCTAATGCTTCAATAGACTCAATGTCTAAATGGTTAGTTGGTTCATCTAGTACTAGAAAATTAGGAGCACCCATGCACATTTTTGCAAATGCAACACGAGACTTCTGCCCTCCTGATAGACTGGCAACAGTTTGAAGAGCTAAATCACCAGTGACACCAAAACTTCCCAGTTGTCGTCTGTATTCTTCTACAGGTTTGCCTTCAAAAAAGAATACACAGATTACTATTACCAAAGAAGTGTGGCCAAACCACCAAAGAAATATAGTGCTTAAAAATAAACTGTAAAGGTAATGAAGGGTCACAACTAGGTTACTGCCAATGATTTATCTGGTACATATGTACTGATGGTTATGGGTACATATAACAACAGAATATCACCAGTAACAATATTAATCCAACCAAGAAAATAACAAAGTAACAGATGCTTCAATTTTCACCAGAATTGCAATTACAACTCTGATGGTCTGATGTCACTCGACATTTCCAGTATTGTCTAACAAAGACATGACAACATACAAGGTAATAAGATGTGGATCTGGTGATATTCAATAGACATCTTAGATATATCAAGTTGTATCTGTCAATCATCAGATATGATTTCTCCACTTTCTATACAAATTTAAATGGTATATTTGAATTAAGATAAATCAGAAGTAGGTATATTTTTAAAATTCTGCAATAATAGTCATGGTGCCAATCTAATCTGATAATGGAATAAGAATAGATTGTAACCTTCTTTGAAAATTTGTAGGAACACAAAAGTGGATGATTTCCAACAAGTATTTTTTGTATATGGTGATTCTTAAAGTTTTGGTCGCTCTAAATGGGCTACACATCCTTTCCTCACAGTCATGTCACATTTACTTAATAAGCTAAAGCAGAGCAGAAAGAACTCCCCATAGTGTTTCCGTATCAAAGATCTTGAGGTGAAAAACATTAGCATGGCTTGTTTGGAAATCTTCATGCACCTCAAGGCTTATTAACTAAAAATGAGCTCTTATTTGGTTTTCAAGTGTTTGAAGTGTTATGTAAACTAGAAGTGAATTTAGAGTAGCTAGAAATAAATTGGAACTATTATATCAACCCCTAATTCTAATAGTAAACCTAATTGTAAATGTTAAAATTGTTTTGTAATTCTAATTCTAATTGTTATCATGTTTGCCACCGAGCATTAGCTCAAAGCAAACTTTAATAAATCTATCTATCTAATTAGATTTAATAACAAAATTAATAAACAATTACATAAATCTTGGGAGGTGGCCAACTTACCTGGATGTGCTGCCTGCAGCAACTCCACAGAGGAAACTGACATATCTAACTGATCCACATGGTGTTGACTGAAATACCCAAATTTCAGATTCCGATGTGCATGTCGCACACCTCGCGTAGGAGTGAGAAGTCCCATAATTATTTTCAATAAAGTTGTTTTACCAGCACCGTTGTCACCAACCTGGTGGGAGAAAAAAATTTCTGTTACTCCCATAGTTGCAGATACAAAAATGAAGTCATTTCAGACAGTAACTTCCAATGAGTAGATTTCTCTAATCTACTATTCATTATTAATTGAATTTAAAATAGAAGACGACATTCAAAAATGTTGTTAACATGTTTTTAATTTCTAAATTCTATCTCTACAATAAAAATAATATTCATCACACTATTATAATAGTTGATATTAAGTCTAAGGTGCCAATCCCAATGATTAGATTTGCTTGCAGGCAAATCTAATGTAGATCATCACTCATACATTTTTTTTTTTTTACTGAACTGTCAACAAATATAATATATAATCTCAATTCAGTCTCATTTGAAATGTTTCCAGCAAACATTCCTTAAAATTTAATTAATTGAATTACATAATATTCAAAAGATAATTAAATTATTTACGGTTTTGTCATATCTACATCATTTTTGAAGTCACTGCAAATTAACAAAATGTTTTCATTTCATACACTGAATATATAAATACACCCATTTATAATATGTATGTATACATATACACAAATGGTCTTGAAAAGTATGTAATGTGTGGTACAGAGATGTAGCATAATAAAAGTCCCAAAAAGTAATGTAACCTGTTTTTGTTTGACTGTCTTACTTTTCAGAATACAGGGATATTATGCAAAAAATGATAACATATTCCACTGAACTTTTAATGAAACTGGGTCATGCACATTCCTAGTGCTTCACTGCACCCACCACCATCCATTTTTTTTAAGTACATTGTTTGACAAATTCTCATTTGCACTGTGTGTAATTCATTTTTGACAATATGTACCACTTAAAGAGCATTTATCATTACACACTTACTGTCATACTAAGGCGATAAAATCTCATTTGCAACCTTGATTGCTGTTACTCAAGAGGTGGGCATGCTTTGCAATTGCAGAGAAAAAAGGTAAATAAAGAGAACAGGTCACATCATAATACACCCAATATTCACTTTAGAACTACAGCACATAGTTAACATGTTTCAATCTAAAAACTGTCGATTACAACCATGTTGACTCCTACATACCTTTTAGGACCATCATATACATCTTTGATACAAGGGAATTTTTGTTATTTGCAATGCAGATATCCTACAAAACTTAATTAAATTTATTTTATGGTTGCACACTTTCAGACAAAACCCCATTATGAATTCTGATTGAAGCACAAAACACAGTGGAAGGGTGAAGGGGAGAAATAGGGTGCAAGGTATGAATGTAGAAGGATACATACAATACAAATTCTTGATTCCAATGTAGCACCAAGGTTCACTCCACTAAAGATCGTAACCCCTTGTTCATATGAGAACGAAACCTCATTAAGCTGTAGGATGGGAGGTGAAAGAGGATCAGCTTCTGGAAATTTAAGGACCACTTCCACTTCCTTCTCTACAGCCTTCAGTTCCGGTCTGAAAAAAAGACAATTTAATGCCAAATGACATTGTTTGAGCAACTAGTTTTCAGTGTATATATTTAAATACTTCAAACAGGAGACACTTAATGTATTTAATGCTAATATCTACAAAAATGGAAAATTTCCAGTTAACTAAAAAACGTGAAAAAGTAAATAAATAATCAGCAAAACACAAAACAAAGTTTGAAATATAAAACTATTACATTCGTGCTTCTTAAACGTGAAACAATACTTACAGTTTTTCCAGCATTTTTATCTTGCTCTGAACACTGGATGCTCGGTTTGCATTGTAACGGAAACGATCTATAAACTCTTGCACATGGGCTCTATGCTGTTGCTGAGCTTCAAATTCACGTTGCTGGTTCTTTAATTTCTCAGCTTTTGTCTTCTCAAAATTTTCATAATTTCCCCTGTAGTAGTATATCTGTGAGTAATCTGGCTTTTCTTTCCAGAATCGTTAAACACTACATACACTAGTTCAAAAGCAATCTACGACACTTAATGAAATTTTCAGTTACTAGAATGTTTCTAGAATTATTCATTTTTCTCTAAACAAATTCTCAGAATCAAAATTAACATTTTATAGATAGCAAAATAATTTTTTCAAATGATATTTTTGTATGATTAAATAGTATAAGAACTTACATTGTTTAAAAGATTTAAACACAAACCTATATGAATCTATCCTCTGTGTATGTAAATGAAGAATATCAGTAGGTACAGTGTCCAAAAAGTGCCTATCGTGGGAGACTACTAGAAGCGTTGTAGGCCAGTTTTGCAGATAATTTTCTAACCAAATAATTGCTTTCACATCCAACATGTTAGTAGGTTCATCCAACAAAAGGAGATCTGGTCTGTAAGTAAACAAATTATCCATCATTATATTATTCTCTGAGGAATATTTAAAGAATTAGGCTTATTTTCCCATTTACATTAAACTCCTGGTTTTACCTTTCAGCCACACATGCACATGTAAGAACGAAATTACCATTTTTCTGAAATGTGAAGACACATTCATAACCACTAAAATGTCTTCCTCCAAGATTGTAGCAATTAGACAATCATTAATCTAGTTTACAGCATGAATCAATACAAAATAATTTATAATATTCAAAAGAACAAACCTAGAAAACAAAGCACGTGCCAGAGCAAGTCTCATCCGCCAGCCACCAGAGAATTGTTTTGTTGGCCGCTGTTGCATTTCACTGGAGAATCCCAAGCCATTGAGAATAATGCTAGCTCGTGCAGGTGCACGGTCAGCTTCAATGTTCTGAAGCTGTACATACACCTCTGACAGCTCAGTTCCAAGACTGGGGTCACTGCAACTGAGAAAAGATATTTTCATCTGTTATATGTGTTTTGCCTTATGCAATTCAACTAATTTCTAACTGAAATTCAACAATGTTCACTGCTGGATATTTACACTCAATACAATTCTTAAAACCTAGAGAATATACATACATTCTTCAATTTGGATTTTCACATTGTCTCCAATTTAAGACTATCCTTCCACTAACATTAAGCAGTGTAACTGAAGTTACTGTTGGTCATCAAAAAATGTGAGCTCTGTTTAATTCAGCCCACACTTCATTCCGATTGCCATGTCAATATAACTTAATCAATCTTGTTCATTTATGGCTTTAATAAATAAAATTCTCCCAGGCAAGGGTACACCCAACAAACAGTGAACTAGGTGTCTTTCAAAACTTCTCACATAAAAAGAAATATCACTTATATCAGTGTATAGTATGACTATGCAACTTGCTTTGTTCTAAACACTTACCCACTATTGATTTGTGACTGTAAATGACGTTCACGCTGAAGCAAATTCTCCCTAACTGTATCACACTGTAGGACACTCTGAAGTGCAGGGGTATCATCTCCTACAACCTCTTGTTCCACATGTAACACTGATATATGTGAAGGTATCCGCAGCTGTGCACTGAAACATTTAAATCAGTGATTTAAAAAGAAGTATTTAAATCGTATCAAAAACATTTTTTTTTTTTCACTCAGCAGATGCATGATTACCAACATAATACTTACATAACAAACCTTGTTTGCATTAAATTTTCTGACAATTTTCCAAAATAAAATTTCTTACCTTGAGATCATTCTCAACAGAGTAGTCTTTCCTAGACCATTACGTCCTACAAGTCCATAGCGTCGGCCAAATGCAAGAGTAAGATCAGCAGCCGTCAATAAAACCCTGAAATTTGTTTAAAGAAATATTATGCAAAGATGTTTACGGAACTTCAGAAAAACCCTGCCATATATTTTCACAATGTTTTAATTTCCCAACATTGATACAAAAAATTATGTTGAGTACTATTAGACAACTACTCATAAACAAATTGAACTACTAGCCTTTACTCTACACTGTACCCAAAACACATTCAATTCTTCTGCTTAGATAAGAAATAATGAAGGCAATGTAAAAGTAATAAATATCTTCACATCTGACTTACACGTTTCATCTACAAGTGGATTTTCATTTAACACAAAGTAAACATAGTTTTAATGAAATAAGACTGATTAGATCTTCCTCCTTAGTGCACTTTTCAAAAATCACTCATAAAGCTTCCAACTAATAAGCCCAATAAAAAAACATGAATCACACACATAGCCAAAGCATAAGATCCAATAGATAAATCCAGACAAAAACTGATGCTTAAGATTCAAGAACGTCCAAAAACTTTGGTCACTATGCGCGATAACAACTTAAACTTATTCAAAACAACACATTAAAATATATTAATTCCATAATTCATTGAAATCTACACTTAACAATTTTCAAACATTACTATTTAAAATTTTAAAACTAATTCTTAAATTTTTTAACTTTCACACAGTACACCATAAATAAGCAGAAACCGTGGTTATGAAGACATTTTAAACACAGAAAATATTATTATTATCACTTCAGAAAATGAAGAATCATTTTACAATTACCACTTTAAAACCATTAAATTTTGTCTGGGAGTTAACATGTTGTGATGTGTTTTGCATAAAACTAAGCAAATTGTTCAAATTTTAAAATGTTCTAATGTTTAATAACTAAGCTAGAGATCAGAGGACTTTGTTTAAAAGATTTTTCATCACATTCAAATGATCACTCATTTCATTTCAGCAATAAGTGTACAAACCTATTTCCATAGGCAACATCAAAATTTTCTATGCGTATATCCTGCGCTCTGTTGCTTCCTTTATCCTCCATTTTTGCCTCCTTTTTGCTAGTCACTTGTGAAGCTGTGGCTGACTCCAAACGTGGTGCAACTGGGGCCCGACTATTAGCTAAATCTTGGCTCCGCTTTTCTTGCTTTTGTTGCAACCGAGCTTCTGCTTTCTCTAGCTTTTTTGCATCTACTTTCTGAAACATCAATATGATTAGAATTAATTGGTTTTATTGAATTTCTATATTTACAATATAAAGTATTTCAACAAACATCAATAAAAAGGTTTACAATTATTTAATAATTCTAATGAAAAATTAAATTCATTATTTAAATTATATACATGTAATGACAATAAATGTGAATTTAATATAGAATTTTTAGAATACATAAACAAGTTTCCTGGATTTCTAGTGTTAATTATCTCCCCATGGGTAGGGAGGGCACAATGAATCACACCTTTTCTCTCCCAGATATGCATTTTTCATTACAAAATCCTTTCTTTTATATTAAGATTTACCCTGCAATTATAAGCAATTAAAATTAATGAGATAACAAATTCTGCAGCACCAAGAGCTATTTATTAATTAGTTCTTATTTTAAACAAATATAATTAAATAGCCAATACCGGATAGCCAAGATTAATGGTGGGGGAGGGAAGGGAGACATGACACACCCAAAGGGAGAAAGGTAAAAGAAATGGACCACTCCCATGAAAGGGATGACACAGGCTGACAGGTTTTATTCAAAGTTTAGAAAAAAAACAATCAACACACATAAACTTGCTCTGGGCTTTCTTACTGGATTAAGCAAAACAAAAATTACCTGTTCATTACTTTAATCTTTATGTTATTCCAAACAGACAGAAGACAAGTGATGCCATGAGTTTTGACATCATTAGCCTCTAAATGGCAAATTTCAAATAAAATGTCACTTCATATTGTTTTAATGAGCTACAGCAGACATCCATAAATTTAAAAAAGGTCTTACAAAATATGTTTACTTAACAGAAATGCCCCCACCCTTATCTGGGTATTCCCACAACATAAATCCTTTTAATTAACACAGAAGTACTTATAAGTCACATAATAGCTTATTCACAATAAAAATGAATATTTAGTGCAACACTGAGTATCTTACCAAAGCATCATCCCTCGACATAACCCATATACTTTTTATTTCTTCCACATTTGTTTCTAAGCTGGCTGCCATACTTCCCAAATGAACAGGTGTACTCAACACTTTTGCTGGTCCACTCGGTAATGCTTTATCAGGTTTCATAATTCCTAGCAGTCTCTCACAAATATTTCTGCAGATAACACAATTATATCATGAAAATTGTAAAGAAAACAAAATTTTAACTCAAATGCAAACAAGAAAGTACATCAATTAACATATTAGATTTCTGTCAATTTTACTAACCTTATTTCTATTTCTGACTTGTTTTCAGCTACTTCATGAAGTACCTCTCCAATGGCATCATATAATTCATTACTATCTTCAAAATCATCTGCACCACTTGCAAGAATACCTAGAAAAGAAAAGAAACTTGCTAGACAAAATTTCAAAAACAGAAAAGCTTTTCTACACACATTTTTAACCAGTATACAATATTTATCTGACTAAATAAATATACTACTACAGTTTTTGTAGCTTTATCTTAAAAAAAATTGGCACATATTACATTAAACATATGAGCTATGACTATTTGTAAGAGAATGAGGAAGAACATAAAATGGGGACTTACATAGATAGTACCACTAAGAAGTTCTTACCTTCAACATACTGATATAAATCTTCATCAATTGAGGGGAACTCAGATTTAATATACTCTCCGCACGTTGCCATTTTATCACACAATGTACAAAAATACTGATTCAATATTGTCTTACGTCACCCACACTGCATTGTTGCTTTGCATCAATGACTTATTCTGTTCTCGACACTGCACCAGGAGGATTTCCGCCCCAATGCAGGTTATCACTTTGAACTGAACACGCGTTTTGGCATAAACTTACTGAAATTTCTCACTTCCGACACCCACGCAAACACAATGACATGTGCATGCACGACTATGCGGAAAACACGAGCAGGTACTTTCCACCACTTCTCTCAGGCAGAAACTGGGAACTTCCCCCAGCGAGAAGAGGCTACCAGCCAGCTACCAGCAACAGCAGGGAACTGAACTGGAGGCCCCCGCTCTACAAGCTCTATACTCTCTGCTCTCTGCCAGCTCTCTTCTTATCCGGCTCAGAGAAGAGAACTGGATCTTGCTCCGACTCTTTGGAGGATTCATGAATCGATAATTTTAAAAGGCATAGAAGATCCGTTCATTAATTAAAGTCATGGTCACGGTGTAAGAGAAATTAATATTTTTTTACACCGTGGTCTGTCTTCATGTTGCACACGGTGTAAGATATTCTCGTACACCGTGATGGTACACCAGGGCAAGTTTCGTTCCCGTAAAAGTTCATTAGCATCGTGATTCAAGTATTTTCTGCAGGTCTAGTAACCTAATCCATTGAGATCACTGAAAGAAGGGACCGCTTTGACAGCTACTGATTGCTGGCTATATAACTGCAAGTTACGTTCATGCACTTATTTTGTCAGTGCGTTCATTTACAGTTGGCTGATTTATAACCTGCTTCATCACTATCTCTTGCAATGTCATCGCCCTGCACGACGTTCATTTGTTTCCCGATCTGTCAGAGTAGTACTATCGAACTCTTCTTTCTTCATGAAAGTTTCATGGTGATCCCTTCATAGATGAAGTGTTGTCCTATGATCCCTTCTTGGAGTAATTCCCCAATATAATGAAGCAGACCTTGGCATACAGTGAAAGAAATTCTCTTATACCGTGGTTTTTGCATCATGCTTCAAGCTCGATGTAAAAAATCGAATTTAAATCCAGAGTGAATGCATGGACATCGCAGTCCCGGAGGGACTTGCCCTTGTATTCGCTTGTATTTCCACCGTGCATCGAAGTATCCTTGTATCATAATTTAAAACCATATTCATCCATTCTTGTATCATGACAAACTTAATTAATTTAGAGCACTTTATTCATATTCATAATTTAGAGCACTTTATTCATAATTATTGAAAATCGTTTCACATCAGAATGAAATATTCCAGCCACAGATCTGCATTAAGTATATCATTGGCACGCAGAGTTGGACCTTGAATTAATTAAAAACGAGTTATTACGATGTATTTGTTTATATCTGTATAACACCAAGATATCTGTAAATCTTACAAAACCATTTCAGTAATCTCATTTTCAGACAAATTTAAATCTTAACAGGTTATAATTAAGAAAAGTCGATATTCTTTACTCCTGGTTAATGATCAAATGATTATAAAATACATATAAACTTAAAGAGAAAAACCAATACTACAGATGTCAGTTTCAACCAGATGTGCCTTTTTTAACATTCTGAATAATGATATCGATCAAAGCATGAAAATTAACTACTTAGCATAACTCTCAGGATGGAATGTGTTAAAAAACGGAAAAGGACAATAAGACAATAAACAAAACATTATACTAACAATCTCTCTTACAATTTAAGAATATAACAATCTTTATTTACAGCTAAAAACAAAATTATATAAACAGTGTACTTGGAAAAAGAATAATTGTTTCACAAATTTTTTTTTCTTTTCTAAAAGATTCGACGAACATCAATTCTAAAACGTGAAATTTCATAAATTTACATCACCTCAAAGTAACGCACATAAATCAATTATTGATACATTTCTCTTAAAAGTAAATTCAAGGAAAATTGATGAAAATGAAAACGAGTTCCCCAAAACAAATTATGTATTCACAGTAAAGAATTTTCACCTCATTTCATCTTGTCAAAATGATGGATTTTAAAATTCTGAATATTTAAATAATAGAAGAAGTGAGATATGTTAATAAATTAGCACTATGTTTAGATAATTATGACTAATTTTACAATGTCATTTTCAACCAGAAAAGTGAATTTCTTGGTTTTGACACTCAGAAAATATGATTCTATAATTTATTATATTTTAATATTTATTTGGAATGTTCTTGACAATATACATTAATTTTCAATAATTTGTAATGTTTAAAATAATATTGTCAGGTATGGTAATACTTAATTAAAATACCTAATCTTCCGAAGTTCTAAAAGAAAACACCATATCTCTATTTATGAAGAAAAGTACACAAATTGAATAACAATAAAGAAGGAAGCAGTCGAAAACCAACCAACTATTGCAAAGACACAAAAGTATATTATAGTAGTAGTAGTAAAGAAACTATTCAAAAATGTACATCAATGCATCTTCTCTGAATGAATTTAAAATATGGGAAGTCCTCTCATTTCACAAACATAATCATGAGAGTATTAATTGTCAAACATTGAATTGATTTTATGTAGACAAATTAGAAAATCCACACTTCAACAAACCATGACACAAGACTTTCGTAGAAAAACATTTAATTGACTCCAAATGATTTTCTATTGGATTCTTCTGTTTGCAAATGTACCAAATCACTGACTCAGTTTCTTTCACAATGTTTTCACGATCCTGATCCAAACCAATCTGAACTCATTACACCAAAAAGAGCAGCAGCTCCTGATCGTACAATGTCTCCGGGTGTTGGATCCACTTTAGTCTTCACATTTGATGTCTTCTTCAACTGCTAAAAAATATAAAACTCATATTTAGACGTCATCAACTTCAAAACTAATTTTTAAAAGACTTCATCAACAATATATTTTTTTAAACTATGATGTTAGGGAGGCATTAAGATTTCAAACTATTTTGAAAGGAATGATTAATTATATTTATAAATAAAGTGAACTTTGAATATACAAAACTGATTTAGAAATATTGGGTCAATTCTTGTTCCTTGCGATCTCAGAAATGAAAGTTATTATGTGGATAAACTGCTGTATCCATTTTTGTTCCTTTTCATTTTAATTTTTTCCAGTTCAAGAAAACCTTCAAGAGCAATATATAAAGAAAACAAAATGAGAGCCTGAGATTTTGATAAACTGCAATGGAGACATTTTAGTAAAGAGTTTTTGTCTTAAAGGGTATCAAATTGATGGTAAAGATGGACATAAGCAAAATATAATAATGATTAGTGAATCAGATGAAAAACACAGAAATAATGTTTTAAGAAAACTGTTCTCAACACACATAAATGAAGTTAATAATTTTGCAAAAGACATCAAACACATGCTGGTTCTTACAATAAAATAGGATACTTCACACACAATTTCTGAATCAAATGTTCAGGTAAATACATACAATTCGGTGATAAATTTGTTATTTTCTCAAAACTAAATTCTAGAATTAAAAACACCTAATAAGTAAATGACACTCAATAGATTAGATAACATTTAAATAAGGAAGAGGTTTTTCATTATAGTTATTAAATTATAGTCTTTCCTGCAGCACAGTCATGCATTATAGTCTTGATTACACTTCAAAATGGAATGATGTTTTAGACTATGATATGACAAGAATAAATTTTTGACAATACTGAAATGAATTAGGAAATTAATTATTTATTTATTTATTTATTTATTTATTTAACTTATAGCATGAATTTTGGTGAGATAACTTTTTTTCCAACAGAAGTAAGATTTAAAATATGTTATAAATTTTCTCAAAATATTGATCTTAAATAAATTTAGATCTATTTATGGAGAAGTAAACCGAGGATTGCAAATGTGGATTCCAAAGGTTACTCAGCATGTTAATTTTTACAAGTTTTGAATATATCTGTTTTTTACCGCAAATTATACATTTAACAAAGCAATGCTACGATGTTGCATTGCTTCTAAGCATTCTAAAGGGCAATGCTATGTTGTAATTTGTTTAAATAATGCAATGCAACTATAAATGAAAATTGATCTACCAACAGTACAGTTTTGAAGCATCAGAGTTACTGGTCATTTCTTAGCAATTACGCCACACTATTCATGCTTTTAGTGACAAGGGTAAATGTGTTCACCGAAACTATTGCTTGTGGCACTATTTTCACATACTTATCTGACTAATGACTCATATTCCAAAGAACTGTAAAAAAATAATAAGTCTAAATAAGAAAGAACAAGATATCAAATAATGTTTAAGATTGGGTGAAACAATACATGTAACAGAAGCAGAAGGAAAAAGTACAAAAAATTATTTTCATAGAAAAGAAGAAGGAAAAACAATGTTGCACAGTATGGACATGTGTAACATGGATCTGATCAATGAACATAAATCTTAGTCCTGACAAATGTAAATTCTACACTATTACATTGGGTAATGCAGAATTATATTATTTAAGGTGGAAAAAAATACCGGTTTCTTGGGACTCCACATTGAGTAACTTTTACTGAATTATAAAAAATGGTAATTAAAATAACAAATGCCAAAGGTCCTCAATTTCACAGAAAATTGGATTCACTTTTTGTAATTTTTGAATTGCTTCAAGATGTCCACTATTCTATCTACACAGTAATAATGACATTCTTACTCTAGTGTAGTCAACTAATTGTGAATCATACAGCTTCAATGCCTTTTTAATAAAGGGAACTGAACGAACATAGAATTATTAAGAAGGGATCTGAATATCAGGATCAGCATACACAGGAAAACTGAATAAAAGGAATCCAATAGCAACAGATCCATTAAATACTGAGCTGTAAAAGAATACCTATTTTGTACGCAATCAGTGTGAACTAATCTTATTAACCTGATTAAAAACAATTAAGCATTACATTAGTTCACAATATTTTCTTCTACAAATTTGGCAAACTGTTTGTCATTAAAGTATCACAGATTTGAATTAAAATGTTGTCCTCTGTAAATATGGTAAATACACATTATGAAATAGTAACAGAAAAGCACACAAAACTTTTATTGTACTTGCCCCAGAAAAGATTGAATGAATCGTAATATGAATTAATAGCTTGTCATCCAGACAATTCACAATTTAATGATTGATTGACTGACTGACATTCTAAAGATAGGAAGAGGAAGGATCAAGGTTTTATAAGAATATCTAGAAAAATGTTCTATTCGATATTACAATTTGGATAAAACATGTACTCCTGGGTACAGTTAAATCGAACAATTTAACAGGGAAAACATAACTCCCAAAAATTTTTTACACCTGACTGATCAACATTATGTTGAAAATATGAAATATTAAAAAAATAATTTTTTGAGGGATTGAACTGACCTGCCAAAAAAGAACATAGTATAAAACAAAATATGATATTTTATAAAATGAAAATAAAGAATATCACAACAACAACAAATATATAATAAAATGGGTGCTATAAAGAAAGAATTGAAATTATGCATTATTTAATCTGTTGAAGTAATAAAAATTTTAATTAAGTGAATGAAAATATGATTTTTAATTAAATGAAAGCATCTTTAATTAAGTAAATTTAAAACATACTTGAGGTCTTTCAATGGTTTGTGGCTGTGTGGCAGGAGGCAACCTGCTGCCAGGAGGGCCAGTCACAGGTAGCAAGGGGAACCATGGAGCATTACTGCACAATGGCAAAACACTAGGATCTTCCACAGTGTGGGTTGATGGTGGACGTAAACCAGATACCACAGCCAACTTGTCAGGCCATGCAATGAGTATCCCTAATAGACCCTAAAAATACAAAAACCAATTACATTTCAAATAATCTAAAATACATTATGTTTAAGTCATTTAAAATTAAAAATAATGAGAGAAATGATATTTGTGATTTTATTTTGAGTAAGAATCATGTTAATAAGTATAATTAATTTCAAATAAGAATTCAACTCCACCACTTATATTCACCTGTGTTCTTTGAACACTTCTTTTTATGTTGTTCTGAATGTATGGACAAAATACATCCAAGTCGAAAGGATCAATTTTATCTTCGAACTTATCACAAATTTCTTGGCATCTACCAACCAAAGCCTTCAGAAAAATATTATTACAAGACTTAATTAAAAAATGTATAGTATATTGAAAATTAGTAAACATTTGATGTAGTACTATTACATAAGACATATACTATTATACAAGATTATATTACAACTACTCGACCTCTAATTTTCTTGGTGCTTTTTCATTAGCCAATGTCCAGAAAATATTTGCTAGCTCCTTCACCATTTGATTTAATCTGGTCTGTTACAATTAAAAAATCTCTTTGAGAAAAACAATGTTCCTGTCAGAAAGCAAAAACTGAAATAATCAAGACTGCCACAATTAGACTTAACATGTGGATGAAGTTGTATTTTAAAGCATCTGAGATGATGTGGCTAAAGGATAAAGCTAAATATTTTATCATGTATACCTAAGCACTATATCTTTTGGGCAATATTTTAGAAAGTAAATCACCAAGATCTGAGGATAAGTAGTTGTGTACAGATTGATCACTAGAGAGCGGATTTTTATGTAATTATACCTTTTTTGCCTTTCTACTTACCATTTTAAAAATTGTACTCTTGGTGAATCACTGCAATCCTAACACAATATCAAAATGTTTTGTTGCATATTTTTACATATTTAGTACTATATTACTTATTTTGCTATTTTCACAGAATATTTTTTTATATTCTATCAATTTTCTTCACTTTTATTACGTATTTGTTTTTGAAAAGAAATATATTTAAAAAATTCCACTTTTTCCTACAGTATTACTGGAAGCGGTCTACTCAAGGAAGTATGCCACATGACGCAGTTGGATGTTCTAGTCCGGCACGCTTGCATCAGTTATGTCAGTGGCGGGAAGTGCATGTCAGTGAATGAGGTCAGTTTCACCTTTAGTGTGTAAAGTATCACTGTGACCTTTGTGACCTTTAAACTTTATTTTCAAGTAACATTGGCAATCACCAACATGTAACACTTGGATGAGAATTCTGCAGCAGAATTCGATGAGAATTCTGAGATGCAGTGATTGTTTAAAAGTCGTACATATTGGCAGTTTGTACGATGGCTTGTATTGCGTCTAGTCTGGCTGCTAAAAGATGGTATTGAATTGCATTATATGAAGGTTTTGCTACTGATGGGAAAGTTGTATTAGTGCAAAGCGAGCTTCAATTTGTGCTCTCCAATTGATTTTTAAAACCTTTGTATTCTTTTTCAAATTTGTTTAGTAATTATTTTATAAATGAAATTTTGTATTATGTAAATGTTCATTTTATAATTAGTGTATTTTAATGTTACATATTATGTTTGATTTTATTACACATTCTTAATATTTTCATTACACATTTATGTACACATTCTGGTGTTTCATCCAACATTTTTCCGGTCTCTATTGATCACATCAGTAAAGTATAATTACCTTATTGTCACGTGGCACTAAAAGCATTGAAATATACTTCACATCCAGGAGATATTGCAATGCCTGAGGCTGACCCAGTCCATCCTTCTGACTAGCAGAATCATATGATTCAAATATGTCAGAAACTAACTGTTCAATTAAATCTTGATGAATTTTCCTATTCAAAGAAACTTGCATGTTACACAGAATAATTAAAATGGCAATTTAATAAATACATCACACAACAAATATCTAAGGCACCTTGGTAATGTGTGTGGGGCAACAGCATTTAATTTATGACACACGAGATTCAGCAAACTCTGAAGGGGTAGGCTTGGTTGAGATGGGACTCTAATGTCAGATTTTACTCTATAACCTTCCTCTCCTTCTTCTTCAATACTTGTTACATCCCACATCTGAAAATAACATCAGTTACCTCAACAAAAAAAAGGGGGGGGGGGGAGGGGGAGAGAGCTTTCTTCATCAACTACTTTTAGTTGATACTGGATATATAATTGGAAATAATACTTTTGACCAACCAATAATATGGGAATACTAACAGGAAAAGAATGAAGCAAATCTGTCAAAAACACCCCATGTGTCAAATTTGTGGCAATCATATCTTTGAATTTAGAAGTAACAGCAGCTTGCCACATTCGCCAAATCTCCACACTCTTTTGTCTAAGAAGTGCACACACTGTTTGCCAAATGCTTCCTTCCTGTAACACAATGTAAAACATCAATTAATAGTAAATGTACATGATTCAAAACTAAGGAAATTTAAAAATTATAACAAATACTAACTTTATGGGGATTATTTGGAGCCAGACATTTTTGCAGATTTGGACATAAATCACATAGACCTTGAAGAAATCGAGCCATAAGCAAGAGACAGGCTTCCTTTTTCATAGGCTCATCATTTACTTCATTGCAAACAGAGAGAACGAAGTCCATTAACCTAAAAAGCAAAGTAAACCCACATGTACTTTAAGGCTCAAGTGGACACAAATACAAAATGAAAGCTTGAATTTCAAACCAGCAATATATTTTGCAGATTAATCCGAGATAAGCCTGAAGATAAGAGATTGAAAACATTTTTAAATGGAAAATCAAGATACAGGTTTTGAAGACACAGCTACCAAACAAAACTTATTTGGCAACTGTAATAAAATCTTCATTTAAATATTCTAGCTTCTCTAACTAAAGGTACTGGATTCAATCTTGTCAAAAATACATCTTCAGGCCTTCTGATGGGGAGAGAAATAAAGCTTGGAAATTTCAATAAATTGAAACACTTGTAACAACGTATTATGATTAAAACTATACAGCATGCCAGAAAGTGTCTCCACACCTAGCGAAGTGAGGTGCTTCCATTCCACGACTTTCTCCCTCAGCTTCACCGCCACGCGCAGTGCGAGTTGTCTGGTGCTCATGATATCAACAGAATTTGTATTGATAGCACTCTTATCAACATGTTGCAACCACAGAGAAACTTACCTAGTGCTCTCTATTATGTTAACAATAAAAAAAATCAAAGGAAAATGATAAATTATTGTCTCAAATATCTACACATTATTTTAATGCCAATCTTCAAGGAATCACATGACAATAAATAAAACAAAGCATGAACAATGACTGGTAGATGTAAACTTTTCAACGGCAGAATCTTTTCTCAGAATAGAAAAGAAACATGAAACACAAGCAATTCTTAAAAGCAATACAAATAATTCTGCATCTGTACAATTTCAACACATCTACAAAACATATTTAAGTTGTCTATTTTATGCACTGGTAAAAATAAATCAAACAAAACATTATATTATTAAAATTAAATATACATTTTTCACTGGTGAAAAGATGCCATCCGTCAATAATCAATGAATTGCTGACCATAAAAATTACTTTCCTATAGCTTGTAGTGCCTCAGGCACTGATATTGAATTTATTGCACAACAAAGATTTGTAATATGTGTTCAAAGGTAGCAAAATGTAACACAATTAATAATAATGAACCAATTAAGTAATAGTTTCAATATGTATTTCTTTTTGAACACAATGTATAGTATCAAAAATAGAACAACTCAATTTCTTACCTCTGTAAACCTTGTCCACTAGCTATTTTAAGATGCTCTTGTAAATCATCTGAATCAGAAAATTTCTCTGACTTTAGAATTATAGTACTGTCTTGTTTTCCACCAACATAATAGTAAACATCATTTAAAATGGCTTGAAGTAAAGAATCAAATTTTGCACACAACTTTTCAATGCAAGGGGAATAACCTTTCGCCTTCATTAAAAGACCTTAAAGGTAAAATTACAACCAGTAGAAATGAATTCCTTAATACACAATAAAATATTTTTAAAATATTTTGAAGTATATATAATTTCACTTACCCCTTGCTGTAGGTTTGAAACCACCATTGCCATCACTTTGAGGTAAGTCACTAGCCTGCTCTTTCCAAATAAACCAGCGAAGATCATGTTCTGGCTGAATACACCTGAGAAAATAATTATACCTTTTTGACACATATCTCCTAGATGCATGTACTTCAAGCTAATGGAAAGGTGCATTTTAATGGTATCTTTTCACTATACATTATGACTGGTAAAATATTAAAATTTATATCATTAAAATTAGTTTAAAACCATACATTTTAGCGAAAATTAAATTAAATACACACACACATGCACACGCACACATGCACAGCACACATGCACAGCACACATGCACAGCACACATGCACAGCACACATGCACAGCACACGCTGTACAACAGTGATTGAAACTTCCAGAAGAGAATACAAATTGAAATATGTATGACAAGCATGCAACTGTATATAACACCCCGTATATAACAAAAAATATGTTACGGAGGTCTTTAGATCAACACGACTATGACAAAGTAGTATGATATCAAAATGCTTCTGTATTTTCACAAAAAGATGAAAAAATAAATGCAACATAAAATGGAAGATGGTAGGACTACAAGGAATCTGTTTACTTCTGAAAACTTAGTATAATGCACATCGAGACACACAAACAAACTGACAAGTGATTCACCTCTCTGATGTTATATCTGCAACTGATGATTTCAGAGTTAGAAAACATGAATCATCCAATGCTGAATTCCACTGGATTGAAACTAATTCTTTGGCTCTTGCAGTCAACAAAGGTTGAAAATAATTATTCCACAAGTCTAATCCTTTCGGAATTAGCAATTTTTGACACATGTTGTCCCAGTTTTCAGGAATTTTGACATTAGAATTTGCTTCAGCTCTAATAGACTGAAGACTCTTTAGTGAATTTACAAGCTGAAGTAACTTCTTTGCTTGAGAACGAGTGAACTCTTGGACCCAGTCCAACCATTTGTTCAGACTCTCTCTCATAGCACTTGGGGCTACAGGTTCTACTTGATCTTGAGTAGAAGGTCTGTAAAGTAAGCAAGTCAATAGCAGAAAGTATCACATATTCCATATTTTGCTTAACTGGTAAATATGCTTAACCTATGACAAAAAATTCTAGTAAAGAACAATTGCCACAAAAACCAGAGAGTAGTCGTAAGTATTGTGTGAAAATGGTAAAGAATAAAAAAGGGTTCTAGCTAAAATACTAATTGCCACCACTTAAGAAAATTAGAAAAGAGGAATTTTTCCTTAATAACGGCTAGCAATGCTTTTCAGTCAAAGTCCTTAAGCTGAAAATTAATTGTTTGAATAATAAGCTTCAATGATAAATAATAATTGAAAAGAAGTTAAATAATTATACATGGTGATGCAAGTAGCGCCAAGTAGAATTATCATAGAAAATACCTTCCTTATATTAAAAACATACCTATATTCTCGAACATGTGGAGGTAAAAATTTAATACCAACTTCATCTTCTATGTCTATTAGGGTCATAGAAGATGGAGCATCTCTACCAACTATATTTTTAAGCTGTTTCCACACCATGCCTTCTGGTAATGTTGCTTCAGGGCAGCCATCTGTATGTGAATCAGCATTTCGTTACTCAAATAGTTCCCAACAATCATTACCAACCAGTTCTATTTAATTCCAGCTAAATAGATCTTGTCTTGTGAAATAAAATATTAAGAACAAACATTGAAAAATTTGAGGCTCCTAAAGGCTGGTCACAGTTGTTAATTTTAACAATTATAAGGGATTATGTTTCCTGTTTCACAATTACCAACTATTGTTACAACACCAAAGTTGCTTAGCATAAAGTAATTGTTATAAATGTTTGACTGTTCAAAGAAACTTACAACTGTGACCAGGAGGTAAAATGTAAAGAGTAACAGACACAGGGGCTCTTAACTCCTAAAGGCTGTTTGAAGAGTTGACTGTCTCTGCAGCTCAAGTGTCTATAACAAATGGACACATCCTGTGAGGTTTGGGTTCAATTCCCAGCTGGGACAGTCAATTCCTTTAACGGTCAAACATCACTTATTAAAAACATTGACAATATCTCAACAACAAAAAATTAAAAACATCTTAAAAATAGAGATGGATGTTAGGCAACAAAAGCATGAAAATAGACAGGCAAAAAGGTAGAACAGATGTTAAAAATAGGCTTCCAAATAGACACCAAAAATGTAGTATTCATGATACTACAGCAAATACTGATATTACATATAGTTAGGTTACTGACATGGGTAACACAGGCTTTCCAAGTCACAGTACGTTTAAATATTCACATATTTTACAAACTACATGCTACAGTATTTTCCCTTTAAATCATACTTAATTTACTTAGGACAACATATCTAAATACAATGGGCACATACTTTTTTATATTTTGTAATTTAATCAAATCCAAACAAAACAATGAATAGGTACTAATAGGACTTCACATTGTGATTACTACTATATCACTCTCAAAACAAAAACATCCCTGCAGTCAATAAGAAAGTCACTGATTGCAAATAATCAGGTTATACATAAAATAATTCTCGAAATATTCCTCTTTAATGTTATGACGCTTCAACGTATTCTCCTCTGAATAAAACCAGAATACTAGTAATTCCTAATGTGCTTTCAGAACTAATTTACCTCCATTAAGTACCTGGGAATCAATATTTCATAAAATGTGGGCATGTCTTCAATCTGCAGTAAATAAAAAAAATATCTTAGAAAACTCAAATGAGTCACCATTTAATAGAAATGAGACCATGAGTAGATGGAATAGGAAGTTTTTGTAACAAATCAATTAATTACTCAAGTAAACAGAGCAAAATTTAGTTCATGGTACACATCATTAATATGTTAATTTAACTTACTTTAAATCATTTTTCTTATATTTTCAACAATAAATTACATGCATTTCGCTTAACATCTGGTCTCTACTTAAAACAGAATTCAAGAAAATTAATTCTCCCTGATTGAGAACACATTCAGTAACACAGCAAAAAGTTCAACTCACCAACAAAGCAAGCGTAGAGCATTGATATTGTATGTACCAGAAGTCTCAGACTATTGCATATTCGAGTTTTGACACTAACATGTTGATCTGACAACAGAGTTGACTTTAATGCCTGGGTTCGAAGAGACAATATTTTGTTTAGTAATTCTAGAGGTGTCAAGCCTTCAAGCAAAACTATAGAACATAAGCAATTGCTTGCCTCCTGGAACATAACAAAACAAAATTGTTTTTCTAAAGACAACTTATTTATATAAATGCAACATATGTGTTAGAAAAGCAGGAACATGTAATGCAGACATGATTTCAGCTACAAAATTACCTATTGAAGCTCGAGAGGAAAAGCCAGTGTTAAGGGCAGTAGATCAAATGTACACAAGGCACTACAAAATACCTGAGGAGGGGGTATGTTCTCAAATACACAATACCTTCAAATTATACAAAATTTATGAGAGTGCAAATGACCCAATTAAGTAAAATGATATTGCAGATCCTCCTAACAGATTTTTTCAGTGTTCATTACATTACTTGGCACTTCTTTAAAAATGTAGGAAAACACATTATAATATCTTCTGGTATCTTAAAAAACTAATCCCCAATTCTCCCCTGCCAGCTTCTGGTCATCTTGGTGCTTGTATTTTTAATTAAAATTTTCCTTCCATAACCCATACCTCGGCAGTGAGACTGAGTTGTTGAAGCTTTCTTTCACAATTCACAGGAATCGACGTTCGAAAGTGAGAAACAGAACTCCACTGATGCGCAATAACGGGAAAGGAAGTAGCGACATTATTGGCTGTGAATTCATCACCGCCTGAATTTAACTCAAGATCTGTAATAAAACATTATTAGAAAACATAAGAAGTAAAATAACAATAACAATAATAACAATAATAATAACAATAATAATAATAACAATAATAACAATAATAATAACAATAATAATAATAATAATAATAATAATAATAATAATAATAATAAATATAAAATCAATATTTGTAATCACCAGTGTGAATGTGTCGTGCAAACAGGAAGAGGCGAGTTCCTAAAAGATAATTTTCTTCTTCTACAGCACTCCAAATTTCCTCTGGTAGAATAGTTAGTATTTTAATTTGAATGGCTAGAGAATGATGTGCTTTGTGTTTTGAAAATCTGTAATAAACAAGTTGTTACTAAAGTTCAACTAAATAATTAAGCCAGTTAATGTTAGTTTCTGTTTTCACTAAAAATGGAAACAAACCTCTCTGTTTTAATATGTTGCATGTCCAATTTAAATCCTAATAAGTGCTTCTGTTGCAATTCACAACATTTTTCTCTCATTCTATCAATATGGGTTATCACACTTTCAGCTGTTGTTTGCATGTCTCTGATAGTATCAGCTGCCTCAATCATATCTCTATATCGTTCACTAAGAAACCAAAAATATGTATATTGTTTTATTTCTAAATGATACATCATGAAAGTTATGACACAAACTGTGTGGATTTACTCTTACTCTACGTTTTGTCTAATGCTTCATTGAACAAGTACGATTTTTCATTTATGTTTGCAAATAATGTACTTACCCAACCATAGTTCTGAGTTCTTCTCTTTTCCTTTCAATTTCAGCTTGTAACTTTTTATTAATGTCTTGTATTTCTGATATGGTATGTTGTTCGAATAATTTATCCGGGTTGATATCTAAAAGCCTTTGAACAGGCATTTTTAAAACGGTAAATTGATACGCACTCGCAGATCTTCACTATTTCTTGCCACACTTTCCGCCGCTTCCAGTTCTATTTCAGATTGATTGCTGTCAAAAGGAGCACCCAGATATTATTATAATTGTACCTGGCATGTGGTGGTCGGGTTCTGACAACCAGCTGACGAGGTACACATTGTAACACACAAACATTGTAAAGTTGGCAATCGTTTTGATTCGTTCGTAAGTGTTGGCCACGGCATGCTGTAAGACACTCACCACGATGTAAGACACTTTTGGCTCCGTGTAACGAGTAACACCTATTCTATTCATCCATGGTAACATGTTCACGGAAACGACACAGTCTAATAATTTTTATTAGACTGTGATAACGAGGTATCTTTTACCTCGTTAAATAATATTTTGTTTTATAAAAAATATTTCGTACATTTATTTTACCATGCGGTCACGGGTTACGGTGTGGAGCTAACCGAACCATTCGCGGAGTTCAATTCTCTTATGAAATATTTTGTAACTAGCAGCGGTCTACTCGAAATGAAATAATGCATAATCATTACATTGAAATATTTGTAATTTAGAACACTAGTGGTTTGTGTACTAATTATCCAGTTCTGCGAAGTGAAACGTAGAAAAAATAACACTCCATAGAAAGACTCGATTTCTCACGTTTTTTCGCTTTATCGAAAATGTTTCCATTTTATCTTATTGAAACTAATGGCGCAGAAACATTGCATAGATTCTTTCACAATAATTGTTTCATCATAGTTTACATTCCGCATTTTCACGTTGCTTACCGCATTATATTACAAATATTTCGAACGCATTTTGCGTACCTCTCCTTACAACTTACACAGCTGCATCAAATAATGTAATACAACAAAAGTATATTATAGTACTTCTCCTTTAATTAGATGTGGCCTTATTTCATTTGATAAAAAGATCGAAGATGAATACGTGATCAAGAGTGCTTTACCAGTTTCAAATATATTTAACAGGTTTTATTAATACGAACACACCAAACCCACCTATTAATACATACACATACACATCTATTAATACACACTTACACACCAAATATTTGGGCGTTTTTGTGTCCGCGCTTAACTAATGCACTCAGAATATTTTCAGTTTAGGAATAATATTCTGTACAGTGCTCATCCAATATGATTTAAAACGATAAGCAAGCCATTCTATTTTCAGGGAAATTCTATGTGTATAATTTTCGATGTGATCAAGTAGAAATTGACCTGCAAAATATTTCGCACGTTGTTTGCGATGACATATCCAAGCAGGAAGTTTAGATAATCGTGTATCGCGAAGATCAGTCGATGTGGCTTCATCCGCGGCCGTCCGTTTTTACTACTTCGGGACTATCGTTTTAACTAAAGACCGGATTCCCGTCTTTTCTTTGCAAACTTGAAATTGAATGAAATCTTGCCAGAAATTTCAATCATAAATGGACGTTATTTTAGGTTGTTGTTTTTTTGTTTTTTTCTTTGTGTGATTTAAGGTCGCATCAACTACTAGGTTATTAGCAACCACTATTGCATGCAAGGATATGATAACTATGAGGATGACACGATTGGGGGTGAAAGGACGAACACAATACCATGCCATGAGGCGGGACTCGAACCCGCGATCCTTCGGTCCTATATCGCTATGGCTGCCTTAGCGATCTCGGCCAACCGGACCGACAGTACGTGTTTTATTTTGCACGCAAATATAGAACACACATTTATCTTTTGTAAGTTTTTTTTTTTTATTTTTTTTTTATTTTTTTTATTTTTTTTTTTATTTTTTTATTTTTTTTAATGACATACCCAGCAGTGCATTTGGGTGGTCTGTGAAACCCGAGTGCCGTATAATAAACAAAATCAATTCTGCATTTTGTTGCCCTATTAAATGAGCGTCTGTACCTTTCATGATGTCTAATAAATGTCATAGTTGCAGCTGTGATAGTAGATCCGCGGTCCTTGGTTGCCGCTGATCAACTAACGCTCTCTTCCGGATCTATCTTCCCAATCACATCACATATCCGTTTTGTCCCTCTTCGCTGAACTTACCAACACGAGACGGCATGCGTGAGTCACATTTGACCTTACGCCCGGGCGCGAAACTTAGCGGCAAGATGCACTGCATTTCAAATTCATCTAATGTCTCGGAACATACATTGCCCTGCGAGGTACGAGAGAGAATGAACCCAGTTTTTGACAGCTCTTAGCAGCGTGCACACGTACGTCTGAGTGAGACTCAGCACACATGTATATATGTAGAACCAAATTTTTCCTGTCCGAAACATGTTAGTTGACAGAAAATATAATTTATTCAGAAAATAATTTAAAATTTTACTTAATTGTAAATCATTATGAAAACAAATAAGAACATTTCTTCTATAACTTAATTATTTTTGATTTCTGAAAGTATATTTGTATTTTTCTATTTACTTTTTTGTTCGTATGTTTATTTCATTTTGTGTGCGAATATTATTTTACTTGTGAAATATTGTTAGTTTAAACGTGTACAACCTTAATTATAATAAAAATACTAAAATTATATTTCATTTGCCTTGAATATCACATTCAACATATAAAAATAAGTTGATAAGAGGATTAAATGGAGTTTTTAGGCTTAACTGTTTTGCACAGTCTTGATCTTTTTATTGCATGTTTCTTCACCATTTGTTTTTTTTTTACTGCATTCTTCTTAATTGATTGATTTCCATTCTTCTCAATTGATCAATATGTCGTTTGATGATGTTCCTATCAGGTAAATGAATCGTATAAAACACCGGTCCCGTGTGGTCATGAACCTCGCCCTGCAACCATTTGGATTTTCGGATTTTCATTCCGGAAGTAGACCAATGTCACCTGTTTCAAAATAGCAGTTTCTGTGTTGAAACCTTGGAATGGATGGATTTTATCGAGAACTGTTCGCAACCTTTTTTCCATCGAAAGTTCAGCAAGCGTCTTGTCGTCACTGTTGCACTATTGTATGTCGAATAAGTAATCTCTGCACCTGAAGTTCGGAATCTCCTTCCTCCAACAAGTGGAATTTCGTAATCTGAAATTTATGCAATAGTAAAGAGAAAGTTACATATGTCATGCTGCGGAATTTTGATGTTTAGAGGATGTTTTCCAAAGTTTATTCCTCGTTCCATCTGGCTCAACTCAACACTCTGCATTGTTTAAATTTTGGGGGTACTTTACATGAAGTCCCTGGAAAGGGAAATACACTTATAAAGGTCCGATTTTCACCGTTAACTCAGAATTTGCGAAAATTCCAAAAGTTAAAAGTTTGAAATTTCTTTGGTGTCTTTCTACAACTACAATAATGAAGATAGATTCCTTCCTTCAAATAATTTGTTTTTTCTCCATAATTAGTCATTTCAATTAGGCATGCCTTTTTTGTTTTGTTTTTTGACAATTTTATTAGTATTCGCGCAATAGAGTGGAATATGTGCAATATTAAAAAAAAAATTTAAAAGCAAGAATTTCCCAGAAACGGCTCCAATTTTTTAAATTTTTTTGGATGAATAGTGATAAATGATCTTTATAAGATGATATAAACACCATTTTCCCATATTCTTTCGTTTTAAAAATTGCAATTGTAATATTTTTTATATCATTTTCACGTCGTTAATATTCATGTTACCGGCGATTTGTACACATTTTTTTAAGTTCTTCAAATTATGTCCTATTAAGTTTATTGAAAACTGAAAAGTTTTTTGTGAAAATGAGCTCAAAATTCCGGATTTTCTCAAAACGGCTTGAAAATATTTTTTAACCTTTTTGAACAGATAGTACTCAATGAATGAAGTTTCTACGAAGCTTCTCGGCAACTCAAAAGTACTATTCTGTGAAGAAGAGCATCAAATTTCACATTCACAGCACGATATTGTCTTAAAAACTACTCAAAATTTGTCCATGAAAATTTCTATAAAGGGCGAGGTTTTCTCTTCTATAATATCTTTGAAGTAATATTTCGATTCTACTATTAGGAAACTAAAAAAATGAGAAAATTAAAAAACAAAAAAAATTGGCGGCGATAGATGGTAGTTGGCAAGAGGATGGGGCGAGACAGAAAAGTTGGTTCAGACGAAAGAAATTAGAAAAACACCTAGTACGAGAAAGTGTGTAGCATTCTATAACCCATTAGTTTGTTGTGTCCACCGGAAAAGGTGGCTTAACTTAAGGGCATCAACTAATGTCACTAGTGCCTTTGACCGTTCTAAGTTCGAGACCCGACGTTGGCAGGATTTTCGCCACTAGCTTGCAAGCTAGGTCAATGGTGGAAATAACACCATGGCTAAGCCGAATCCAGCCGCTGTCTGGGGTTGAATTCTAGCTGCTCTGATCGGTAGTTTTTCGCGATCGACACCAGGCGAATCCCGGAGCAGTACCCCCAACAAACCGCACGGAGTCTTTCCTTGACCTATCACACATGCTGGGAGGCCGATCGGGATCCTGAAGCTTGTCCAGGCTGGTGTGGGACCCCGCTGGTGGGAGGTTCGTGGTTGGGAAATCCGCGGTAGGCGACGGGAAGGTCGGCACTGGGTCTCATCATTCAGTGGGAAAAGATTACCGCGACTACCCCCGAGGAAGTTGCACAACACTTACGGGACTAAAGACCTTCGCAACACTAACGCGAACGTAATCATTAATTAATCAATCAATCATTCTGTGTCCAGGTCTGCTAATCATGGCTGTTCAACAGTATTTTCTGAAGGATTACATTCATGTTCATTTTCATTTATGCTTAAAGAATTTTATTGTGAGGAGAGTTTTTGAATAACTTGTCGCAGGTAGTAAGTTAACACAGGATTAATTAATGTTGAACTTTTCAATGTTGCAATCTTCGAAAGGGGAAGAAATATTGAAAAGTTAAATGTGGGGAGAAGTACCAAAACTTATTATGAGATGGGGTGTTTATACTCAAGTTGAAGCTTTATAAAAAAATGTTTTCATATGAGGTTAATAAACCAGGCGACCCGAGTAAAATTTTGTCATATTTTAATGATTAATTTTTAAATTTCTTTCAAAGAAAATTTTTTTTTTCTGGAAAAGGATAAGAAAGGACTTTGAGAAACTGTCTTGTAATGGATATTATCAGAAGTATATAGAGTAAGATAAGTAATAGCAAACAACATTCAAAACAGAGGGAGATTTACCCTTCAGAAATAAACTTTCTTTTTAAATAACAAGCTCCAAACAAGTCATTTCAATTATTTTATGCCTAAAATCATTTAGGAACAAATTTATTTATGATTCAAGAGAAAGAAAGGTTTAATAGTGATGAAAGTGGGGAGAATATCAATTTTAGTAGTACTTCTGCTTTACTTTCCAAACATCTATATTGCTAAAATAAAACACTTCTTTTCTGCAATTAAATTAATTTATTTTATAAAAGTTACTTTGTAAAAATATTGATTAAAGTGTACAATGTTCGATGTATCAATGAAACACAATCAAATGACACAAGATACTATTATATAGCTATCAGGTCTCTCACATATATTTACATATCACAACTCATAAAAGTAAATGCACTGGTATCACTCTTAGACATCCTACCTTATGGAAAATCTTTTTATACAAAAAAAGGCTCAATAAGAAAACTTGCACACAGTTCAGTACCGAGTTTATATACATTATTTACAATACTGAATGTTTTTGATGTAAAGTATACACAATGCCTCAAACTTTCTACTGTCTGGCCTTTGTATATATATTGTACCCTCTTTTTACTTAAACAGTAATTCAACAAAATTGCTTAATCAGAATTCTTGGTACATATAAAACAAATTTGTTTCATTATTTTCATTTTGAAATTATTTGAAGCGAAATGAAAAATATTTTGTTCAACTTAAGATGAAATAGTAATTAGTGGACAAAATATTAAATGTTAATAAGTTGAACATCATTTAATATAATTATATCTTAAATCTGTGTACCAGGAGTTCTAAAAACTGTAATAATTTTAATTTAAACATTTTTCTTTCTGCATTTTATTTCTTACTATTTTGTACAAAAATTCAACTCATCTTTATATTTTTCACAAATATTCAAAGAGTATCTTCCATTAAAAAATTTTAAAATGGATTTTTTACTTTATTCAATTTTTTGCTATGCGATGTAGCGTTGTATAATCAGAAACAACAAAGTATTCAAGTTGAGGTATGCAAACATTTAATGTCAAATGAAAATAGAATAATATTTATGGCAATCATAACATTGTCAACTAAAGTACATATCAATCACAAAGTGAATAAAAATGTCCAAAAATATTTTGCAAAGTTTGTTCAAAGTTGTAGAAACAAAACCAGTAGAAAGTAGTTGAAACAAAACGTAATTGAATAAAAAATGATGATCATTGGCAAAGAGTGGAAAGATTGGATCCAATTATCCAAAGAAAGAAACTAATTCATTTTTCTTATATAACTGATTATACTTAAGCAAATAAAAGCTATATCTTAGATAAATTAATTAAATGATCAAAATAAATTCAAACACAATAGCTTTGGAAGAAAGAAAATAACTTTTTAACTAGGATCATTTTTGACATCTATGATAGGCAATTATATTCCATCAGGACAGGGAGCTAGATAGAATTTTTTTTAAATTAAAAATAAATGTGGCATAATCTTAAGAACCTTGAAAGAATAAGAAAAAGAGAAGTCTTTAATATTATGGACCTTACATAACTTTTATATGAACGTGAAATGAGCTCTCAGACAGTGAAACCTTAATTGGAACTCAACCACAGTAATGTGATTTACCCTACCCCCTAAAACCCTGTTCAGTCTCCACAACCTGATCAGCAGCTGCCATCTCTTTCAAGGAATCAACACAAAGAGCTACCTCAGAGTAAAGGAGGCTCTGAGTACTTTTGTCATTGTGACATAGTGAAAATTAAACTGAAAATTTTTTATTCAAAACTGAAAAAGATTGGCATTTTCAGTAGAACAGTTGATAGCAATGCAACTCTGGAAACCATGAATTTCAACAATTGGGGAGACTTCAGGAAGACCAGCTTTCTCCCAGTGAAAGGACCTGTCCAGAATAATTCTAAGTAGCTAAGATAAAGGCGAAAGGACTTTTTGGACATTTTTGGGCCATCCTAAATTGTTTTACATTTTAACAAAGTTCATCTCCAAATAGCTTCTAGTAAAAAATGGACTTTCTCAAAACTTGACTTAGCACATAACAAAATTATATAAGAAAAAAATGCAGAAGACATTGTATTTGCTATCTATGTTTGAAGGTGAGGTTTGACTTTTTGAGCTTTTAACTAAAATAGTCTTAAATTATTCATAAATATTTCACAACAAACATATCCAAACTGTGGTAGGTAAACACAATAAAGAAACAATATCATTTTTCATAAAAGATTCTGTTCAATAGTGATTTATGAGCATTTATTCATGAAAGGGAAAAATTTATAAACTTCCCTTGCAATGGGAGATTTGACTCAAATTCTCAAATCATTTTTTGTGAAATGATCAGTAGCTATCAACCTGTAAGATGCCTTTCATACCAACCCTTTTATTTTTAACATAATAAGAACTCACCAAATAATACGCTTGTCTGAAATGAAAGTAGTCTCAAATACAATTCCCAACCAAAATAAAGAAAGCTACACGATTTCTGGGCAAAGCTCTACAGCTGGTACACCTAAATATTTGCTACAAAGATTTTCCATCAACTGAAATTTCTTTTCACAACTGAAAACAACTGCCACTAAATTTAATTGCACCCACTGAGGACAAGAAGCTTTGCTTACATTCAGTTTTGGAGAAACGTAAAGAACACAAAAGCAATAGGAAAGTTCCTGGTATAAAGTAGTATGTCTGAATAAAATCCATTTTTGAAATGTGAAAGTGGATCAAACCTCCTAAACAGTCAAACGTCTCTACCTTCCTCCATTATTTGTAACATTATTTTTCTGTTCTTTCTTCAAGGTAATTAAAGAATGTTTTCTTTAATTACAAAATTTTTCCTGTATTTTTTCATCTCATGACCTATTTAAATGATTTTTTCATTTATCACAATATTCCTGATACATATGTTGGAGTTAAAAGTATACACTCACAAAATAAAAACAACCTGTATTCACTGAAAGAAATAATCAAAATGTCTCAATAAACTGTTTCTGCTTTTGAAATAATTTTCATTACAAATTTTAAACTAGAGAACAATTGGAAACTCTTACTCAAAACCCCTAAAACGTTAGAACTGTCAAAATGTTTTGAAAATTTGTCTTTTCTTTCCTTAAATAATTTAGCATTATTACTATTCTTTGGTACAATATTCTAAATCTGGTATAAATAAATTACTATCAATGAAAAATTAATTGACCTTCTAGAAATAAACTCTTAAGTTTAAATTATATCAAAATCACTCTTAAACTAGTCAAGCTATTTCCTTTTCAAAAAGTCAACCTTTTCAATCATAACTCAGTTGTTTCTAGCTTTTTGGCAATTAGAGGATTACTAATTTTATCAAGATGTTGATACAAGTTTTCATGGTATATAACACTTCTGTTCAAATCATTTCTTTCCTTTACTGCTGTTCCTTCAGGTAGCAAGTTGGAAACGTTGTTGGAGCTTCCACCGTTGTATATACAAAATGGTTTACTACCTTCCATATTCGTTCGAGCTTCCTCATTACCAACTGCATTTTCATCCAAGGAATCCCGTTCAGACGTGCTAAAATTATATTCAGGAAGATATAAAATTTTATCAGTATTGTCAATTTAATGACATGAACTTTTATTTCAATTGGTGACCATTCTTGCAGAGATCAGATACTGCAAGAATAAAATAAGAGCTAGTCTCATTTTTGTTCATTCTGGTATTACTAATAAAGCAAATATTCATATATCAATTTTAGAAGAAAATGTTCTTGATTTACACTTAAATCAAGAATGTTTTCAGTCTTCAAGTTAATGCAAAGAAAATATTTTGCATTACCTGACTGATTCATCTTCTTTATACCATTCATTTTCATATGCTCTCATCCACATTGGATTAGATCCTTCCACACTGTGCATATTGGTGTTGGGCACTTGACCTCCTGTAGCATGATTCAAACCGGATTCATTGGATCCTAAAACAATATAAGCTTTATTAACAGAACTTAAAAGTCTGGATATAACAAATACCAATTTTATTTGTTATTCCTTACCAAATGCTGCAACTGTAGCAGCTTTGAGTTGTCTCTTATATCGAGCTCTTTGGGAAAGACATATTGACAGAACTAATATTAGTAAAAGTCCAAGGAATATTGTTGTTCCCACCAGCCAAATCATCATTAGTCCTTCCGTGTCAGCTTTAAGAGCCAAAGCTTCAGCTGGCTGGGTATCCAGAACATTGAATTCCTGAAAACCAATTAACAAAGTTTCTTCTGTTCATTTTGCATTTTATAAGCACATTACATATGCATAACTCATATTTTTTTGGGTACATTGTACAGAGGGATTGGCTGATAACTAGAACTGAATTATGTCAATGGGAAGATTGAATGAGAGAGCTAGTTCCAAATTACTTGCTAAAATGTAAACAGGAATCAAAGTTCGGGGTCCAAAATGTGAAACAATAATGGAATAGTGAAATGACAAATGATGAACAGTTAAGGAAATGAAGCAGAGTGTAATAGAGCATGGCACAAAAAGATAGGAATCATTACCCACAACTAAAATAGCATATCAGTCACAATCCTCTTAGACATTTGTTTGTAGGAAAGGTTATTATTACAACAACTACCAAACCATCAAGTCAAACTTTTAATTAAAATAATTTTAAAAGCCTTCATAAAGTGTTTTAATCTTATTAGCAGCATATATAATTCTTTATGATAAAAACAAGACAATACAGTGCCATTTAATTCATATTTAGTTGATAACCTCTCAATTTTTTTGAAAACACTTGGGAATTACCTTAAAGAGAGCATCAAGAAGTTCAATATTTTCATCTACCAAGCGAAGTACATCAGTCACTTCCATAATTGAATTATCATCACGGTTCACTAGATGAATATACAGATCAGTTTTGGTTTTATCAACAGAGCCATCATGATTTTCATGAATTTTGTACTCGTCTACATTCACAATAGCTCCGGTGACATTGCTCAATACCCTAAAACATTAAAGATGTAATTTATAGTTGGAGTTCCATTGCAGTTCAAATCATTATAATATGTAATAATAATTATAATACTTACTCCCGAAGTATATCAATCTTTTCACGAATTTCTGCTGGTTGCTGTCGAAGTACAAATTTTACTCTTTGGTCTTCTCTAAGTAGATATATATACACTCGTGCCATGTCTTGCAGACCATCAGTATCATTTGCTAAAACCTGCCGAATGAAGAATTTTTGTGAATGAACATTAAAAAAATCTAATATATTCACAAAATCTGGACAGTGAATTAAATTGCATACCATGAAATCAAAATATCCTTTCATTCCTTTCTGTGGATCAAAGTTCAGGGCCACAGCCCCTGTATTTTCATTTACAAGAAATGGCGGTTTTTGAATATTTTCCAATCCTTCAGTGAGAGATTTCTGAATTCGACCTATTTGGAAGTACTTCACTACTGCATTTTCCCCAACATCTGCATCTGTTGCCTACAAAAATTCTTTGTTTTATTTTAGCTCTGTTGTTAACAATTTCATTTAACCACTAAAAACAACACACACCTTCACTTGCATGAATTCGGTTCCAAAGTCAGCATCTGTACTCACTCCCCCAGTGAATACTTTTTTCACAAAATGAGGTGGGTTATCATTGATGTCCAATATTTGGATGATAACTTTTAATAGTGTGTCATCTGAAGGATCAAATGCACTGATATTTGTAGGAATTTCTAAACAGTCTTCCGTAGCTTTTACCACTAAAACATGCCTTTCTTGTTGTTCTCGGTCAAGTTCTCTCATTACCTAAGAAAACATTCAGTGAATTATTACCAAAAAAGAATAAATTTCTTGAGTTCAATTTGCTCTTGACAAAAATATAAATAAATTCAATAATATAAATAATTCATAACTTACTGTTAATTCATGTGTAACAGCATCCAAACTAAATAATTCATTTTCATTTCCAATTACAATATAGTAACATACAGGAGTTGGAGGATCATCTAATTCATCTACTTCATCTCGGTCAACAGTTTCGACTAAAAGCCGTTTTTCTGAGCTAGGAGCAGCATGTTCTTCATAGATTGGTGAAAAAGTAAGGATAGTAATAATTATTCATGAAAACATATTATTTTCTGTTGGTTATTAGAAAAAATTTTATATATTTTTTATATTCTGGATTCTAAAACTTTATAAACCAAGAATTGAAAATAAGTATATTATTATAAATATTATATTATAATAATTATTATGAATAATTTAAATGTGCAATTTTTTGTAAATGGGTAAATCTTTACAAGCAAGAAACATTATAATTATTATTACTAACAATAGCAGCTTTGTAAAAGAAGAAGCAGAAATTTCCTGGATATGATACTTTACCAGCCAGGTGGATAAACTTAGAGATTTTTGGACTCTTCAATTCTCAAAAAATTCAAGGTAAGTGTCATTATTACTATTATTTTTTTAATTTTCTTTTCCCTCTCTCAGTAATAAGCATTCTTCTATTTTTGTTATGTAAATACTACTCTAGATTATTATGTAGTTATTTTTCTTTGTAAATAAAAAAAAAAGATGTATAGAAATCTGAAAACTCACCAGTAAAATTTACAAAAAATTCATTAACTAGAAATTGAGGTTCATAGTCATTGACATTTCTGACATAAATTGTCAGTTCTAAATCTGAAGACAATGCTGTTGGGATTCCTAGATCATAGGCTTCTACGCGCACCTGAAAATAATAAAGTTTAATAAATAAATAAAAGTAAATAACATTTTTAATTCTATTATTTTTATTATTTTCTATTCAAAAAGTAATATGTAATTTACCTGGTAAATTTTCTGTCTCTCCCTATCAAGTGGTTCTTTTAAAACCACTACACCAGTTTTATCATTTATGCTGAATGTTTTCCAACCATTTGTTGAATCTGGTTTGAGGCGATAACGAATAGCAGCATTAGGCCCTATATCATCGTCTTCTGCTTTGACTTCAATAATTGTGCTTCCTATTGTGGCATTCTGTTAAAGTGGAGGAAAAGGCGAAAATGATTTGTTGTAAAGAGGAATAACTTGAAAGTACATCTACTTATTTATGTTTCTTTATATACAATTTTATACCTCAGGAACTCTTATAGTTATATTATGAGTTGGATTGACAAATCTAGGTGCATTGTCATTAAAATCAGTCACACAAATTTCAAGATCCATTGTAGCTGAATTGGGAGGTATTCCTAAGTCTTGAGCTTGTATCTTCAGGGTGTAATTGCCATAAAGCTTCTTCAGAGATTTTAAAGTAACAATTCTTGCAGTTGTAAAATCAATATTTTCTATTTTGAACATACCTGCAAGAAATTATGCATTTTCACCACAATGTAACTGTTTTATTATTTAAAAGAACACAACAATATCAAAATGTATGACAACATACATTATTTAGCTAAAAATATAATTACTGATTATGAAGATTTTTCTTCTATCAAGTGTCAGTTTTGTCCAATTAATTTACAAATCATGAGGTCATGCAAGATTGAGTATTACCTACTTGAAAAACTTTCTGTAATACAATGTTGTAAATAAAAGGTTGCAACATAAAAAAACTTACAGTTTTTTTTTATGTATATACTTAATCAAATATAAAATAATAAAATTTAAGGAGTATAATGTAGCTCTACTTTTTAAACAGCATTGAAATTCATTAATTGCATTGTAGTTTTAAGGGTTTCAACATTTTCTGTAACTCTTTGAGAAATAATGTGTATTTGAAGTGAAATGATTTTCTGTTGTATAACTTATTTCAATGACTTGTGAAACATTCCTACCTTGTTCATTACCATCTATAATTGAAAATTTAATTCGACCATTTGGAGTATTTGGGTCATCAGCATCAGAAGCCTTAATTGCAGTTACAACTTCACGAACTGGATGGAATTCATTCACAGTCACACACCCATATATAATTTCAAACACAGGTGTTTCATCATTAACATCTACAACATTAACCCTGTGAAATGAAAAGTTTTCATAATTAAAATATTTTTTTTCTCTTGGTATCTGGGGTAAAGTATTCTTGGGATCATATACTGTACTTTAGGAAGCAATCAGCTCATATATATGTATATTAATTACCCAATTTGCTTAAAGGCATTTCTGCTCTCTCCAGTTGCATAACCAAACTGATAGTTATCCCAGGCTTCAATTATCAAAAGATAGGAACTTTGTTCCTCCCGGTTCAATACATCAGCTACACTTAAAATTCCTGTTTCAGCATTGATTTGGAACTTTCCCTGAAAAAAAAATTTTAATTTAAATCAAAACTTAAAATTTAACCTGATTAAAAACCTATTTCTGTTTTCCTTAAAATATCTTACTTGTGATGACATGCGATCTAAGAGGAATGTAATTTTTCCAAAATCGCCAACATCTGGATCTTGAGCTTCTATAACTGCAATTTCAGTCCCTATAAAATATATTTCTCTCTTTGTATTTGATACAATATTTATCTTCAGAAATTCAAGATAAGGAACCCTTTTTGACATATTTCATTACTATAGCATAAATAAGTTAAAATTTGAATTCATATTTGATAATTTTCTATATCAGGATATCATCTTTCTAATGAGTTCTTATATGTATTCATGCAATGGGGATAAAAATTACATTGTAGGATGAGAATTTTATTTTTTAAGGAGAACATCTGAATTCAATAAAAGTAATTATAATTATCTGCCTAATAGAATCTCATGACATGCATGTAGATTAGAGGCAGATCAAATGAAAAAGGGAAACAAAGATAATTTTTTTTTTTTTAAAGTAATTTTTAGCTAATACAAATGTTTAAGAAGCATGATACCTTTTTATGTATAAAACAAGAGCACTAATTTTAATTCTGAGAATTTAATGTGTATTCAATACTTTTACAACATTTTCATTTTCAACATTTCAGAGAACCCTATTTCAAGATCGTTTTTAAAAGTAGAACAAAATTGTGTTTGAAGTATTTTAGCCATTATATAGTTAACAAGAAATTTGAACACAAAAGCATAACTAATTTATTAAAACAATGTTTTATTATACTTTTACTAAACCCATCCACTCATTAAAAAGCCCTTTACACAATAATTACCTTTTGAAAAAGAAATGCAAGAGAATCTAAGAAAACAATTGCTTCCAAATGAAGACCACTTTCACATCAAATTCTCATAGACTGTTTCTAATTAAAGTATTTTAATAGAACACACTGATAAAAGGAGCAGGTTAATGGATAAATTGGACTAGAAAATATCAAAATATATAGAAAAAATAACATAATTTCCTTTTCATCCTTATGTTTCAGAAATGAATCTGATTCATAAAATTAATTCAGTTTAAGTTCACATATTTTTTCTGTAATACTAACCAACAGGAGCATCTTCTCGAACAGTAATATTGTTCAGATCACCAATGAAAAATGGATTGTTGTCATTTTCATCAAGTATTTGGATGAATACATCTGCCAAACTGGAACGTGGTGGAAAACCAGAATCAGTTGCTCGAACAGTGAAATTCAACCAAGGAGTTTGTTCTCGATCTATTTTGCTGGCAACCACAACTTCTCCTGTGTCTTCATCAAGGTGTACAAACTCTGCTGTACTTCTTGGTCCTTTCAAATATATTTTTATTAATATTTAAAATGAATCTTAGAGGTATATATTTTTATTTTGTAAAAGAAAATCTCAAGTCACCTTCTAAGGAATATGTTATAGTTCTATTTTTATCAGCATCATCCGCTACTATATTAATAATGGTTACCCCATTTTTACTGTTTTCAGTTACTGATCTCCTGTAAAATGGTCTTCTGAATTTGGGATTGTTATCATTTTCATCTTCTATAATAATTGTCAATATGGCTGAAATTTGAAAAAAAAAAATGTATTTTCATTGCTGAGATTGACAAAATCAAAAAAGTAAATGTCAAATCTTAAAAAACATCTTACCACTAGAAACCTGTTTGCCTTTTGCTGCAGCCAAATCTTCAACAGTAAGACCAAGGCGTATAGTTTCAACTCTTTCTCTATCCAGAATTTTTACCACTCTTAAATATCCACTTATAGGATCTAACTCAAACATACTCATAAAATCATACTCTGAACTTTTAATTAATGTTCCTTCTTCACTTCGTGCTTCGGAATTACTTGCATCTAGACGATACCGAAGAATTGGTTTGTCATCTGGGTCTATAGCTTGAATTTTGTGAATGTACTGTCCAACTTGTGTGTTTTCTTTAACTCTTAGAACACCTGGATCCAAGAAAACAGGAACCTTGTTGTTCACATCTATTATAGAGATATTCACAATTGCTAAAGCCTGAAGTTGTTCCTCTCCTATTCCTCCATCAAGAGCAACCACTCTTAAAGTGTATCTGGTAGTTTTAGGATCTGTCCGATCTGGATCAAGATTTGCACCATGTGCAACACTAACCACACCAGTTTCAGCATCAATCACAAATTTGTCTTCAGCTCCTTCTTGAATTCGATAGACAACCACATTATTAGGAGAGGAACCATCATCGTCCCATGCCTTTACCTACAAATTGAAACATCTTTTTAATTTCTTCTATTATAACTTTTCGAATTGAAGCTGCAATTTTATCGTTAACATCCTCATGGCTTCTTCAATTATACAACTAACATTACAAAATCTCTCAAGGACCTAACATACATAAAATACAAGGAATGTATATTTATCCACACAGAAGAATTCACAGCCATGATCCCTTCATCAGAGGAATGAGGTAAGTAAGCACCAGTTGCATCATCACCACACACAAAATCCAAAAGTATCTCCTGAGTCTCTTTAATTTGAAAGACAGATAGTATAAAATATGTTATTATATGTTTGTACATACAAATCTACGCTAAAAACAGACGAGTTCAAATGAAATCTTGTCTTAGTGATGTTGCTGAGAAAAATTCCTCTAAACAGAAGTTAAATCTGGTATATCACCTGATTGGGGGGGAAACTGAAAAGTTCGTATGGTTTGTGGTATTGTATCCTACAGACCTCAGCTTTACATAGTTGAATACACTCCAAGAACCGCTTGCACCACAAGAACAAGATAAATGTTTAAACATTGTTTTGTTAATAAATATTGAAATATGATATTATAACTCTTAGCATCCAATTATTAGGATTGGAATATTTCAGTAGCGATCATTGAAATTATTAAATAAATATAAATTTAAAACTTAGTTCAAGTATTTAATTGTAGTGTATTATACAAATCATACCAATCTGTGTTCAGGGAATGCAAGGTCAACTGCATTGTTTTAGTGTACATAAAGACTCAACATTTTCAGTCAACTAAATTTAAAATATATAAAAAGAGAGATTGAGGTAAAGAGATTTTCATTTCTTTCCTAATTAATTAATCAAAAATCACTAGATATACATTCTGTTGTTGAAAGAATAACCTTACGTTTGTGTTCACTTCATGCAGTCAACTTAGAATGTGCACAATATACCTGCATGATAGAGCTACCTCCAAGCATATCTTCATGGATTGATCGAGCATATTGTGAATGCTCAAACAAAGGCGCATGATCATTAATATCTTGAACATAAATCACAACTGGAACTTCAGAAGCCAGGCTGGGATCACCCATATCATGTGCCAACACAACTAGGTTTAATGGAAGGACATTGGTGATAGCAACTTTTCCTGGTGGCAGTAACTGTTCAAAATCAATTGGAGTAAGAGGCTGCATCAATCCCAACGTTGGATCAATTGAGAAATTACCAAATGGATCACCAGATGCAATTCTAAACTGAATTTTACTATTTTGAGTTCCTGTTGAGCATGAAAACAATTATGTAGAATGAAGTAATACACTAATATCTCTCTTCTCATACTTTCTCATTCAAATTAATATAACTATATAGAAATATCAATACCATTTAAATCATTATCATGTGCTTCAAGTAATAATGGAGATTCAAAGTCAATGCTGTTTTCAAATAGCCTAGCCTCATATTTAGTCCTTAGGAAAATTGGTGGATTGTCATTAACATCTTCAATATTTACCACCAGTTGAACTGAATTTCTGTTAACATAAAACATTCAAAGTAATTTCAAACATAAAATTTTTATAAATCCCTGGCATTAACATATATCCTAACCTGTTGCCATTTCCTAAATCATCTCGTGCTTCAACAGTCAAATAGTGCCGAGAAACTAATTCCCGATCAAAAGAGGGGCCGGTTGACTTAATCGTAATGATACCAGTGACTGGATCTAATGAAAGTCTGCAAAATATAAATCAGTGTTACAATGTGATTTTTGAGAACAACAAAAATATAATGTTATAAAAAATATCCTCATACAAATCAGACATGCTTCCTCCGAGACTGGTGTAACGAATTCCTTGAGTACCAAAATTTCCTGAATCATCATCAAGTGCTTGGATCCAAGCAACTGTAGTTCCAACATCAGCATTTTCTCTAACTGATACCTGAAAATAATTATAAAATAATAAAATAATGATCTAATTTCAGAATAAATTTTACAGATGATAGATTATAAATTTTTACCTCATAATACGGTTGAGTAAACTCTGGAAAATTATCATTCATATCTTTAATGTGAACTGTCACAGGAACCAAACTATATTTTGGATTGTTCAATACCATTTCTTTGGCAATAATTGAAAAATTTAAAACTGGAAAAAATTAGAAAAATTGTATTAATTTCATTAAGAAGATAAATGGATTATGTGACACCATAAGGTATCCAAAATCAAGAACTTTTTTGGAGCCCTAAAACACTTACATGTAAGTTTCTCAAAATCCAGTTTCGTTGGATCTTTAACTCTTATTAAAAAAGAAGCTTCATTGATTCCTTTTGGAGGTGTCACTTCGAATATTCCTTTATCGCCATCAAGAAACATTTGAAAAGTTCCATTATTGCCCTGAAAATAATGTAATATATTACTGTAAGAAAAAGTACTAAGAAGAACACTCTGTACATTGGTAATTTACATTAATTTGAATTCAATTTTATCAATTGCCTTATTAACATCCCGATGGCACATATGGTAGAGCTCCCACTACTCCTTCATGCTGGAATCTCAAAAATTTAATATTAATGTCCTAAATTATTATCATTATTGTCATCATCATCATCATCAGCAGCAGCAGCAGCAGCAGCAGCAGAAGCAGCAGCTGCAGTAGCAGCAGCATCATCAACAAGAATAAATCAATATACCTGTTTCGAGATGTCCTGAGGACCCCCTTGTTGGTCATTTGTTAATTTCATTCAGATTATTTCAGAGTTAAAAATAGGGTGTGATAGGGAGCAGGACAGGAATATTCAGACTCCATTTAGAGAAGTCATTTAGGCTTGAAGTTCTTTTACATGAAGAAAAAGTATAATGTGGTGGGTGAGGCAGATAGCTTTACTTCCCTTCTGAAGGAAAGTGTGAAATTTAGGATTTTTATATAAAATAAAATTCAAAACATTTTATATGGTATTACCTGATCATGATCATACACTTGAGGTAATGCTCCTTTCAAAAAAGTTATGGGTGTGTTAGTTTGAGCATTTTCATTCACTACTGCTTCATAAAATGGACTGCGAAACGTAGGAATCTCATCATTTATATCTGTAATGATAATAGTAACTTCAGTGCTAGCAGTTGGAGGTGGAGACACAACTTTCGAATTTTCTTGAGCCTGAAAAAAACATGAACTGGAATTAGAAAAAAACTAATAAGGCTAAACTTGTATATCTATATAATATGTTTCAATATGAATATTATACTTAATGTATATTATACCTTTTTGTTAGAGATACAGGTTATCATATCCACACATGAAAAATAAGTCTGATTTCAAGATATCAAATATTTTATTATCTATGATTTTATTTTAATAATATCAAATTATTATTAATTTCATAGCCTTAGTCAAGGAATTTTTTAATGAATGGGAAATTCAGATTATTTTTTCACAATACTATTGTACACATCATTTATGAGACATTCCTCAGTATTGTATTAATTTAAAATTTATTTGTACAAACAGAAACATTTGATATTTTTATTAAAATTCCAATTATGAAAATTATAAACTTATCTTTTCCTATTATTTAATTTTGTATTAATCAATAAGGAAGGCAATGTAAAATTATTTGGAGAAAAGAACTATAAGACATTGAATAAATTAGGGCAAAGTAGAAAATTTGAGTACTGATTCAGTATTTTCCAAATATCATAGTACATCAAATACTTTTCTAAATTTTCACTTAAATTTTTTTTTCTTCAGTAGATGCTATTTAATTACATTTAAAATAAAGAGAATGATTCTTACAATTATCTTCAGAATATATGCACCATTGCTATTGTCTGGACTTTCTCGATCCAGTTTCTCCTGAGTGAAAATTATTCCAGTTTTCGGGTCAATGTTAAAGCTTGTTTGAGCACCTGGCACTAAAGAATATGTGACTGGATTGTTGATTCCTCTGTCACCATCAATTGCTTTAACTGAAACAGATATTAATTTATAATTATCATTAGACCCTAAAACATACTACAATATGTAATTTCTCTCTACTTGCACAAAACCTTTTTAAATAAGAAATTTTTGTCTTGAGGGAACTTTGAGGTTAAATAAGGATACACTTATAACTAGTGTAATATCATCATAAGGGAAAGTGTGTTGTGAAGATTATATTAAATTATATTATATTACATAAGATTGTTAAAAGATCTTCATAAAATAATTTCATTCAAATGAATTCAGAAGAATGGTTCTGCTTCAGAGCAATTATCATGTAAATGACTGTTGTTGAAACAAAATGCATTACTTTATTTAGTATTTGCAAGCCAAGAAAACATATGAGTTTTTTTACACAGATAATAAATAATAAGGAAATTTTACAGCACAGTTTGAAAAATACAAATATCTCAGGATTTTTCTCCTTTATCTTCATCATTTGTATTGATTGATTATTTTGATTTTTGGACATGTAAATTACAATGGTCATTACTCCCGTAAAAGCAGATAATGTTTCCATCACAAAGTGGCATCGTTCCCCCACTAGATGGTGAGTTCCGCCGTCGACATACATGTCGGTTTGCTAGTGTTTTCCTCAACCAGATATATTCCACCAGCGAGGCACCGCTCCAGCCGGGACAAGACCTATATTATGAGTGATAGTGAAGGGCATGTAAGTGTAAATGTAAGTAAGGAGTGAGGGCGGTTGAAGGAAGAGGAAGAAAAGTTCAACCGCGGACCGTTACCCGTTTGTTAGGGTACTGCTCTGGCATTGGCCTGGTTTTGATCGGAGAAACCACGGAAAACTCCCTGTTAGAGCAGCCAGGCGCTAAAATTCTCCTTCAGACAGTGGCAGAATTCGACCTAGCTATTGTGGATGGCTAGTGTGTAAAATCCTTCCACCGTCGGAATTAGAAGAATCCAAGAATCCTATATATATATATATATATATATATATATATATATATATATATATATATATATATATATATATAAACTGACAGCACTATTTTTCAGATTTCTCTCTATTTCTTGCCTTTTTCGCAAGTAAGTTTTTCCCATCAAGTTGCTCGTATTACAGGACCGACGCAGTAATAATGGACAATATTTGCCTAGCTGAAAGACGAGCTATGGAAATAAAGAATGTCCAAACTTATCCACAACAAATTGCAGGGACGCCCGGAGAAAACAAGAGATCTGGGGCTGCAGATTCAGGCGGCTCTTATTTTAAACAAATGCAAACAGAAATAATTTATCCGTGAAATTAAAATAAAATAGATAGGTTAATTAGATTAATTTATTAGAAGTAATTAAATTTTTGTTTTGAGTGAAAACAATTTCGATCCCCGAATTGAGGATGGGACTTGGGGCAAGTTGCCCCCCTCGCCCTTCTGGGTGCATCGCCCAAATTGATATCACGAGTTATGATGATCGTAAATGACGATACCACTTAATATTTTAAAATTCCACGCGCTAATGTATGAATTTCTCAATATTTGTAATTGCTCATCCACGCAAACTCGCGTAAATATATTTCGCAAGAGACAAACATTCACCGAACATTACATCTTACAGTGCTTGCAAACTTTAATGAATTTTTGCTTTATTTGTCGCCAGCTTCGTGGCTAGGAAATGTCTTCTTTTGCTGTCGCGAGCCTTCACGTCGTATCACGCATAAGCGTGAGCTTTCTGCAAGTTCGCGGAAACGGATCCCGGTCGGGGGTGACTGCCCATAGAAAAAGCGTAGTTGAAGAGCAGCACTTGGGACGAATCACTCCGCCATTCGGTATAGCATTCGACGTAGTTGCGCCTGACCACAGTTCTGGGTAAGAAACTAGAGGAGCTAAAACAGCAAGTACTTTCTCGACCTATTTTCACGCAAATTTACGAAAAGTACTCTAATTTTCAAAAAAATGTTCACGATCGTATTTCAAAATCTTTTTTTGAGCGACAGATTTCATTACGGAGAAAAATCTCTTTGATATTTTAGTTGCAGGAATGCCCCGAAAAAATTTGGAACTTTTGAAATTTTCGAAAAATCAGGGTTATTAACCAATATGAGACCCGCGCCATTTTCTTAAGCATTCATCCCATTATCCAACAACAAAATTCAATCAAAAGAATAGAGCCATTTCTGTTGTTGAAAATTTGGAAAATATCCCGAGGGCCTCAATTAAAGTACTACCTAGAATTAAAATATCGGTTTCAAATTCAAGAGGCCACGTCATCAACCAGATCGATGGGGGAATATCAGTTTTGGAGAAAAAAGGCTGAACGGTTTAGCCGCTAGCGTTGTTCACAGACGGACAGATGGACAGACAAGACGTTTTGCATTCTATTTTCGGTATCAAGGATCCACAAAACATAGATTCTGGCTACATCAAGGGTGTTAGAGGATTTTTTTCTAAATTTAGCAACTTTATTTATCCACTTTTTCGTCACCATGGCCCTATAATGAGAGGTTTTCTGCCGAAAATTTGCCGTTTTTTCGCCCAGCATTACAAATTTTTTCTCTATTCCGTAGCGAGAAAGTAAAAATTGATATATTATTTCTCGAAAGAAATAATATTTTCAGGATAATGATTAAGCTCCTGCACAAATGATATGAACTAACTAACAAGCTAGCGGACAGAAAAAAGTGTCAAACGGAAACAGTTATTGGAAAATTCTTCTTCTGATGAAGCAAGCTATCGAGCTGTCGTGTTCTGAGGTTGCATCTGGGAAGCCCATTTCCCGAAAGTTGATATCTTTAATACTAAACGTACCTTTCTTTCAACTTACATTTGAAATAGAAAACTGAAAGCTGAAATTAATAGAAAACGTGGTTAAAAGAACTTGCACTATGAGAAAAAACTTTTATCTACAAAAATAGTAAACATTTTTGAAATCCGTCGTTGCATTGCTATTTTGAGTGATATGTGTAACCTGTAGACATTTCATAAGCCTAACTTCAATAGATTCTGAGAATTAGACGCAAACATTTAACACTGCCACGATAGGGCATTCAACGAGTATATCCCCTAAAAAAGCCGACGAGCAGAAACGAACAGAAAATTTTCAGGAATTGACGAGTTGTTACTAAAGGTCTCTTACATTTATTGAAACATTTTTTTCTAATTACTTTAGTATTATCCATTCTTCATAACTTTATTTACTAGAAAACGTGGTCGAAATCGTATTCAATCGGGCAGGAGCCGCGTTCAGTTTACCTTGGAGGACGGAAGTGCCGACCCGCGCGTCTTCGCTCACCCTGGTGACGGGCGACACGGCCACGAAGACGGGCGGCTGGTCCTCCACGTCCTGCACCTGCACCAGCAGCGCCGCCGTGCCCGTGTTCACCTGCGTGGCAGTTCACAAGGCGATCAGCACTAGCAGCGAGCCCTTTCGGCCCTTCTAAAAATAGGTCTTCGTTATTTGGCACATTTCGACAACACAAAACGATCCTCTGGGAAACAAATTTGTAGAAACTGAAATTAAACCAAACAACAAATAAGGGTTTACTATTTTCTAAATTTTCATTATTTGATATTTTAAATGATTAACTTTTTTTGCTTTGAATATTTGAAGGGATCAGTGAGAGAATTGTAGGTCACGCCAAGGCAGTTTCTGGATACAGATCGTTTAATATTTAGCGAACACATGTGAATCAACTGACAGCCGCGAAAATGTTATTCTGCTATGAGATGAAAAATGGAAATCTGTAGTACTACCCAATGGGAAGAGGATTGCTCAAAGAACATCGATTCTCGGGAGCGAGTGCCAAGAAACCATGCCTTTCCCCAAAGCTAACAATTGGTTTTGTAATTTTATTTAATACATTGAAAATAAATATTATCCGTTTTTACAACTATGAAGAGTATGATTATTATTTAATTATATTTTATGCAATTAATTTCCATGCTTGTCCCTCCTACGTCACAGTTTTTACTGTTTGATGAAAATTATTCAAATCGAATGTATTATAAATACAACCAAAAGTGTATTATAAATATACTTCTTTTCTTTTAAATCAAGCTAATAATTTAAAACATAGTATTTTAAAAATAGTAATAACGGTCAGAATTAAATTATCCCCGAAAATTCTGGAAAATTCCCTCTAAGAGTATTCTCAATTGGAAAAACCCAATCCTAGCTTATTACACTAACACCTACATATTTTCAACAATTCTTTGAATTTCTTCCTGTGTCGAGGCCCAGGAGAATTAATGGTTTATGTACGTATAATTTACCCTTCCGTTGTTGGCTCTGTCGATAGCCAACACTCGCAGCTGGTACAGAAACTTGCGCTCGTAGTCCAGCTCGCCGAGCAATCGGATGACGCCTTTCCCATTGACAGTTGAGATGCCGAACGTCTTGTCATCGCCGTCCATCTCCTCGAGGTAGTACACAACCTGCGAACGTCACAAATTTCATTAATGGACTTTCCAACTAACACTGAGGTTGGCAAAAAAAATTCCTACAGTAACTATGGTTATAGATAGCTAATTAAGTTATTTTACTTTCAGAAGGTCTGATAGTTGATTGTGGTATAATCATTCCAATGTTGGTAGCTGCCTTAGAAGTAATTCAGGTAGCTTCATAGGGTTAAATTATCCTTACATGTCCTTACATTAAGTGCTGCAAATATGTTTATAGCTGTGATTTAATCATGTTTGTTTGTTTAATAGGTGAGCAAGAAATGGCAACTGATTCTGGATGCCTAAGTTTTTCAAGTTATGACTGAGGTGTTAGTAGGACACAAATTGGATTATTATAATTTTACATTAGCGTTGCCAATAACATGATAAAGTATGACGTGGAGCAACTCAAATAGTTCTCTATTAAAATATAGTAAAACCTACTTCTTTTGCCTTAACTTTAGCGAGTTTTAATAATCAAGTATTTTTACACAAGGTACAATACACAAAAGAATGTCAAAGGGAACAAACCTTGCTTCGAATTATTATCCGAATTATTATCGTTGGGATCATCAACTTCCACATTAACCAGAGTCCATTGAATTAGTCTTTAAAATAAACTACACACAAAACGACATTCGATTATTGAAACTGAAGATGTGCTGTGTTCGAAGAGCCGCCAAGAGTTACTAAGATAATCAACAACTATTAAGGAAGTGATTCCACCATTCGCAATTAAAGTCAAAAGCTTATCCAAATCAGCTTCCAGTTACACCTATAGAGACAAGCTGATATTTTCATGCATATATGATTCTGAAAAAATCATTTTCTGGAATTGTGGCATGCGATGAAAAGTGGCTCTTTTTTTCTGTGATTCACAGAAGAGAAAGCAGTGAGAACATCGTGGGAAAGAAGCCCATTCAGTATGTCGGCAAGGTCTTTTCGGGAGAGACTCTGCGCTTTGTGTTTGGTGGAATTTCGAATGTGACGCACACTTTAAAATGGTCCCGATCCTGAATGAGGAACTTGGCAGAAGTTTTGAGGTACTATTTCCCGGAGAAACTTTTTCTCCTGTTCCAGAAAACACGGAAAGAAAAAAATTAATGGTCTCGTCTTTGTAATATAATTGAAAAGCTAACTCTTTTATTGTTACCTTCGCACGTACGTAGGTGTCTCAAAAAGAACCTCAAAGCCTTTACAATTATTAGAAAATAATATGATAAAAAAACAATAAAAACATTTTTACAAATTGTCTCAAAATAATTTTACAAATTCGAAATTCAATGACCGAAATAAGTGTATGAGATGTGATCAGTGTATGTATGAGATCAATTTAATAGGCGTCATCAGCAATTTCCAAGTAGAGTTGAAGAGAGTATGCATAAAAGCATCGCTGACTGAGAGGTATGACGTGAGGGAATTTTTCACACAAGCTGCCTAGCTAAGTCTAATTCAATCACTGTCAGGCGGAGATTTCTAACGACTATCTAGTCTGATCGCTAGTTTTCCGCGGTTTCTCCAATCTATACTACGTGCCTGAGAAGTACCTTCACAAACGGGTGTTTGTGTTTGTAGTTGTGTTGCAGTTCACACGCATTTCGAGTTTTACTGCTATGTTTAAGTGGCTGGTGTGGGTTCGCGTCGGACCTTAGTCAAGAACCAAATCGGCTTTTGTGATGCATTACTCCCTCAGAATAACAGAGGGGAGTGCTTGTCTTCTTTGTCCTGTAGTGAAGACGAACCTAGCTAATTGTTTAAGCGTTGCCGGAGCTTCTTTGGTTTGAAAGGCTAAATAGGCTTCGTTAAACGTAAGCCGTCTCAAGCATTGAGTTAAGGACTCAATATCAAGTTCCTTCCTCAGTATTTTCAACCGTTTCCGAAACGGAGGGCGTGCTACGAGTCGTAGAACTTCGTACTGTACTAGCTCAAGTGTGTCCCTGCACTTCTGTGCTGTGATCCACCACGTTGTTGCAGCGTAGGTGACCACAAGTCGGCAACGCGTTTTATAGAGTGCCAAGCAAAGTTCTAAGGGGAGTGCCACGGACAGCACGCGATGTTTCTTTTCTCACTCGTGTCCCCACCGCACCCCTCACGCACACGCACGCACGCACACTTACACACATATGCACTATACTACCACACGTGCACGTGAAGGAGATCAATCGGGAGCTTCGAGCTTGCTCCAGCTAAGGCTGCACCCCAACGGGGAAGATCATTGGAGGGGGAAATCCCTGCAAGCCGATCTGTATGCCGACGCCGCCGATTAGAGAGCATGCGAAGGAACACTGGCAACGGGAAAAGAACACCGACACCTCCCGGGATAAAACATGACTACATTTACACGACAGCTGACACAATATTGGGCGCGCTCGGAAACTCTAAATAATAAATCTGCCAATCAAAGAAGCATGCAAAGAATCATTTGCATCACCTCGTTGCCAATGAATTAAAGCACATTGCAAAGAGCTAATGAGCTCAACTATGAATGAACGTTGTAACGTTTCAGGTACAACTAACCAATATTGGTCACCATGTGTTTTTTTCTCACGATAGCAAGGTTTGGTTGTTGATAGAATGGCTAGAGATATAATTCAGTGTGTGAGTTACGGATTTGTGAAAAATTGTGAAATGCCCTCCATTCTTATATTTTAAACATGAGTGAAAACGTGGGTGAACGACCTAAGAGTGAAATACTTTTAGTTTCTGTTAGATTAAAAGACATTCACTAAATTTCCTCGAACCTTCATTTCCCTAGATGCGAGAGGAGTGGTGGGAGGGTAATTATTTTGTTGACAGGACTATTATATCAAATATGTAGCTCGTTTTTCGATGCACAATTGGTTCTATTACACAGGAGTCAATATTTCTGTTATCAAATTTTGTCAATAACGCTCGTAGCAATTATGTATTCTAAATTCACTGTGTTAGAAATTAAGTGGGGTAGGAATTACGGAGCTCAAGAAAACGTGCACGTATAACACCGACACTTACAAAGCTGGCGTGAGAATGGTATAGAGAATTAATTATCTACGAGCAGCTCAAAACAAGGAAGCTGGCTGGGCCTTCTCTACGAGATGCAGCTTATTTCTCGTCAGAGGAGCGTGAGCGTGACCGTGAAAGTCCTTGTTCGCGGCGGGGTCGGGGGGGTGGAGCGTGACGAGCGTGCGTTCAATGAGCGCGCGTCACACGTTTTCCGCTATGTTCTGGCAATGAGATTTGAGTAAAAATAAAATCGACCCAATGTCGATGCATGGTCTTGAAGAACGCCGCTGTGCGAAGTCAGAAATTGGAATTGTAGTTGGCGTAGTCGTGTCACGGTCCCTTGAATTTGAAATGGATATTGTGAGTTTTGGAGCTATGTTACATGAAGTCTCAACTTCCAAAATATTCGCAAAATGGCTTCAATTTATTTCTTTAAACTTTTCCTTAGTTATCAGGTTGTGTGTATACGTATTAAATTATATTAAAATATATACATATATACTACATACACATATAGTACATTACCTCTATATTGGATATTATAATCTATTTTTTCCTATTTTTTTAAATTTGTAATGTAACAATGAGAACGCCGCGAAATTCTAAGAATAACTTCAGATTGTTGAACGGTGTTTCTAAATGAATGTAACGATATTTTGGATTGTCGCATTTGTGTTGATGTGTAGGTATTGTGATGATGTGTAGTTATGCTTAAGTGATCACACCTAATGAGCTACGATTTGTAATCTTAAATGGGTTAACATGGACAGAACTTGCTATATTATCATTGCATGTTTCTGAGGGGAGAAGTACATGCTGTTATAGACCCATTAGTTTTCCTGCTTGAAATGACTAAACTATATGTTTAAAAAGCGAAATGTTTTGGTTGTAGCGCCTACATGCTGCAGCTGGCACGAACAGCCGCAGCCCAAAGATAGGAGCTGGCGCGCCTGGCGGTGAGCGTACCTGGCCGTAGGGGCCCTCGTCGGGGTCGGTGGCGTGGAGCGTGGCGAGCGTGCGTCCGGGAGCCGTGCCCTCGGGCACCGCCACCGTGGGCTGGTAGGGCTTGAAGGCGGGCGCGTTGTCGTTCACGTCTTCCACCAGCAGCAACAGGCTCTGCGTGACGAAGTTGCCGTCGCCCAGGTGCCCGTCCGTCAGCGTCAGCACCACCGCGTACTCGTCCTGCGTCTGCGAACGGCACGTCACCATCACCAATTGAATTCAATTCAACTCTATTCAACTCAACTCTATTCAATTCAATTCAACTCTATTCAATTCAACTCAACTCTATTCAATTCAACTCAACTCTATTCAATTCAACTCAACTCTATTCAATTCAACTCTATTCAATTCAACTCTATTCAATTCAACTCTATTCAATTCAACTCTATTCAATTCAAAAATGTTTTATTTTCCAGGCTCAGGCCATCAGGCCGGCTGTTCCGCCTGACCAAGCAAATTCCGCTACGCTCCAGTCACCGGATGGAAGAGAGAGGAGGTAGAGAGGAGCTTCTCTAAGAAGGGACTAGTTTGACAGGAGGGGAAATAAATGAACGTCATGTAGGGCGATGGCATTGCAAGAGATAGTGAAGAAGCCATTTATAATTGAGCTAATTGTAAATGAAAGCACTGACAAAATTAGTGCGTGGACGTAATCTGCAGTGATAGTGCCAGCGGTAGCTAAGTAGTACATGTTAAATCTGTCCCTTCTTACAGTAATCTCTCTGTATCTCCCGGGGGACGAAACAGGCCAGGCTTCTTTTACGCTTGAGGACATGCCGTAAATGTACATGGGGGAAGGAAAGCGTACTACGGAGGATTTGTTCGCCCTTAAAAATCCACAGCTTCGATCGGGTTTGAACTGGAAAACTATGGTGTAACAGTCCCATACGCTGACCATTACACTGCCGAAGCCATCACCAGCACCAGCGTCAACATCATTATCATCATCATCATCATCATCATAATCAATGTAATCACCATTATCATCGCGGAAATTTTGGAAAAGGATAAATATGGATTACTTTTTTATGTTATTATATATACTTGGAAGAAATAATTAATGTTGCAGTGTAATGGTCAGGTGCAGCAGATACAAGAAATTCCTTTCACTACGTCACGGCGTGACCTGCCCAACACCGGTGTATGTTGGGTTGCCTGCCCATCAGGGGCAAAAGTCGCTTGTGTTGTCGGCAGGAAATATCCCAACATATTTTCACTGACAAAAAGCTGGGTCACCTACATGTGGCAACTAGCGCAGTAAAAATATTACAAAATCGCATCGTCTCCTAGGGAAATCTCATCTGTAAAATTACTACTTCAAAATAAATTACCCTAACCTTCTTTCCTCTAATATCTTCCCTTGTGTTGGACACACCCCTTCGCTTAACCTCGTCCTTCTTGCATGGGCCCCGTTTTCTCTCATTCCCCGTCTTTTGCACACCTTGTTTCCACCCTTCCCAACCTCCCGCGATGCTTCCCATTCCCACAACACTTCACGCCATCACACGTCTCGCACTGCCTTCTTGGATTACACCTTCCCCTCCTCGGGCGTTCATCGGAGCACGCGCTACATCGCGCACGTCCCTCATTATTTCTGGTTCTCCCATGGCCATTACCGCTGCCTCTACCCTTTATTCCACGCCTCCCCCTCCCACTTCCTCCCACGCCCTTCGCTTTCGCCCTCCGCTGATGCACGACTACTTCCTCTGAGTCACGAGCCCTCCCTTCGTACGACGTGAGAGTTCCTCCCTTCGTGTGACGTATGACGTGAGAGTTCAATCTGCGCCTTTAAGGCCCTTTCACAATGCAAACGTAAACATAAGCATAACGCGTACACGTAAACATTAACATAAGTGGTAGACTGAAGTATTCACAATGTCTAATATAAACGTAAACAAAATAGAAGTTTCTATTGGCTGCGAGACATTCTAGTTTACTACTGGTTGGATGTGAAAATCGATTTGATGTATCGACTGTGTTCAAGACCATACGACGTTAGTTCGTCTATCGGTTTTGTTTCTCAATTTTGCGTTAACGTACTGTGATTGGTTCATTTCTTATGCCATATTTAAGCATAAGCACAGAAGCGTGAAGCTTGCAAGCTTTTAAGTTGACGTCTTGTGTGTTATGCTTATGCGAAAGCATTGTAAATGAGCCCGCTAGAGAATGAATCCTAACTTTTATGTTAACGCCATGCTTATGTTTAAGTTTGCATTATGAATAGGCCTTTACAGTAATACCAGAGTCTCTGAAGAGTACGTGAGGCTACAAGAGAAGCTCGGAGATCCGCTCTTGTGCAAGCACGAGGATTCCTTTCACACCTAAGCTTTATTGCAGCAAAATTGTGGCAAAATTATTTCTCCACACAATGAATTGAAAACGAAATTTTAAAGTCACTTAAGAAACCAATTAATAAGTATTCTTAGTCAAAACAGTATCATGATTTTTTTAATGACACATCGCATTTAGGGGGGCTGAAAACTGAAAATTCTTTTTTTAAATTGTGAACCAAATCATTACGAAAAGATGACAACTTATATTTTAAAAAATACCCCATGCTCTCATACACAAAGCAATAATTACTTGCCCTCTATACCTCGATAGGTTCCAGATAACCCCCGACGTCTACATTTTGTCTCGCTCCAACGTCTAAACTATAACCCTTGGAGGGTCATTGCCATGGAGACTTCGGATGTACTCCTCAAATAACTAATAAATAACTAACAATAAAATAAATGAATAACAAAATAACAAATAAAAAATAAATTCAGATATACTCCTCTAAAAACATTCTCAACAAAGTTTTAGAAAATTTAGCAGAACGAGTCCCATGTAAATTCTGCATATATACCTATATATTCATTTCCCTTTACATTCATTTCCCTATATCTATCTTTTATCATCTACATCTTTTATCATCTACATCTTTTTTCATCTACATCTTTTTTCATCTACATCTTTTTTCATCTACATCTTTTTTCATCTACATCTTTTTTAATCCACATCTTTTTTAATCCACCTCTTTTTTAATCCACATCTTTTTTAATCCACATCTCTTTTAATCCACATCTTTTTTAATCCACATCTTCTTTAATCCACATCTTTTTTAATCTACATATTTTTTAATCTACATACTTTTTAATCTACATATTTTTTAATCTATATCTTTATCTTTTTTATCTATATCTTTTTAATTTATATATTTTTAATCTAAGGTTTATTTATACATATATTTATTTATCTATATCTGTATACATGTATGGACTGGCTGTTGTATCGCACCTCGCGGTCGAGCTCCTTGCGCAGGTAGACGTTGGCCTCGGTGGGGCCGGCGCGCTCCACGCGCAGCACCTCGCTGCCGCCGCCCGCCGCCTCGCGCACGCCGAACGTGAGCGGGTCGCCGTCGGGGTCGGCGCCGCGCAGCCGGTAGATCAGCGACCCTGCAACGCACCCGCGCGTTCACTGAATTGAATTAATGCCTTATTTTACGTGGCGGGACTCGGACCATCAGGCCCGCTCTTCCGTCTGACCACACAAATTTCGCGCTACGCTCCTTTCACCAACTAGCAGAGGAAGAAGGTATTTCTTGGGCGAGAAACAGGCTCTTTTTGAATTTAGTTCAGATCATTTAGCTTGATGATCTTTTACATGCAAGTAAATCTACGAACATGGGACAGTCGGCTTTACTTCCCCTCCGAAGGAGGGCGTACGAAGGATTTTCTCGCCCTTAAAAATCACAGCTTCAAGCATAAACCCGCCAACTTCGGTACAACAGTCCGGTACGCTAACCATTACACTATCGCCGCTGCCGCTGACGCCACTGACGCTTCCGGGCGCGGCGACAGCCACGGGCGTTGGCAGGGCATGGCTGTGTTTACTCTATGACGGGGTGTATCTCTTTGGGGAATGGCTAAAAGGCGCGTGGATGAGTTCAACACGTGGAATGCGCGTGTTTAATTAAGGGTAAATACTTTAGTGGTAGTTACGCGAGGAAAATGAATAAAAAAGCACTGTGCGGTGTGAAACGAGTTGATAATTATTTTGTATTGGCTGGAACCAAGGATGTTATATGAGGGGTGGCCACTCATTTCCTGGGACAAATTTACCTGGCCACAATACTCTCAAGATATGTAATACTCGACATGGTAATTACTGTCTTATTAGGATTATCTTATTTTTGTTGACTAGGTGGCATAGAAGAATCTTGAGCCGTTCATGACACTAACCGGGAAGGAATAGAAACTGAGAGGGACAATGAGCACAAAAGCAGCACATGGTGGGCAATATCCGATGAGCACAACAGTATTACAAGATTACTGAATCGAATAATTTAAAACTTCAAATACAGCCCGAAGGAAGAATTCGCCATGGAAAATATTAACTTTTTAATTTGAATTGTTTTGTAATAACATTTATAGATATTTATGAAATAGACATTTCTGAATCTTCAACATTTTGAAAGTTGGCACAAGGTATTTGGGCACTTTACGACCGTTAAAATTCGCGCCAACGCTTGAATTTTAATGGAGGTCGACTCTCAGATACTTCGTGAGAACTCTTTAAATAAATGAAAAGTACGAGTATATTCTAAATTAACCCTGAACGAAACTAATTCTGATCAACGGTTGATTGAAAAAACTGATGAATAATTGGAAGTTAGATTAGAGTTTTATAATACATTTTACTGGTTTGAAACAATATGGGATATTTTATGTGTGTGTTGTAATAAGGAATAAGGATGTTCGTCCTAATTACAAAATTGTGTGTACTTTTCCTTTATTTTAGGAGATATCTGAGCACTCGACGCTCGCGCAGCTGCCTCGTTCGGGCGCGTGGCAAAGGAACACTCACCGACGGGGGTGTCGGGCCCCTCCTTGAGGCGCAGCACGATCTCCGTCTGGCCGTCGATGAGGAAGCGCGGCGGGTGGTTGACGGAGGCGGAGGCGGCGCTCACGCCCTGCGCCGCCGCCCCCGCCCCCGCGCCCGTCGCCCACGCCGCCGCCGCCGCCACCGCCGTCCACGACGCCAGCCACAGGCAGCAGCCCGGGCGGCCCCCGCCGCCTCCGCCGCCGCCACCGCGCCCACCTCGGGCCCGCGCCGCGCCGCGCAGCGTCATCGCCCTGCAAGCACAAACGGGCGATTCGGTCAATGGTTGAAGGTTCCATCCCCTTCACAGTATTTATGACGTCCCAGTTCAATGATATGTCACTAGTTTTCATCTCGCAGGTCGCGTTCAGATTTGAAATATTTGACACACATGAGCTGAGATAGTTTCCTCAGTTCATTTCAATAGTCGTAACTATTAAAAAAAAGCTCGCGGGACTCTCTGCCTACAAACTCATAGTGTTATTGGAATTGGCCTTTAGAAGGCGAAATATTTTTTTATCTGTAAATTATATTTCTCAAGTGCTCTATACCTGATGTGAACATTTCACTATAACCAAACTATCCTGTGTTTATTTGTAATGTGCGTGGATTGAGGCTGGTGACTGATTTACTATAACTGAATGTCCACTTTATCCGAAATATCTGAACGAGTATGTCGCCTGTTCTCACTGACTGCGGTTTTGCTACAAGTCCTATTTTTGTGACTGCCGGAGCAGAACCCTACCAAAAGGGTCACGGACTGCGCACGACTCTTCCTTCCTTTTCTTTGCCGTACCCTCCCTCCTTACTTACGCACTCTTACATTCTGAAGCACTAAACTACCACACAAGTCAGGAGACTAGAGAGGAGCGTGGAGCTTGTCTCGACTGGGGTGGTGCCACGCTGGAGGGAGATACCTGGAGAGGGAAACCCATCAAACCGCCAGATAGGTCAGCGCCGGATCTCACCATCCACCGAGAAGAGCAGCCACTTCCCGGGATACACTACACCGACGGGACTGTATTTCTATTTCAACAGTGACAACTACTTTCCTTATTAGCCACGTGAGATCTGGCGCCGACCTAAAAGTGGGCTTGCGTGGGGGGTGCTCTTCAGGTATTTCCCCCAGCGGGGCACGGCCCCAGGCGGCACGAGCTCCAAGCTGCCAACTGGCCTCCCGACACGTGTGGAAGTGTAAACGAAAGTGTGTGTGTGTGTGTGTGTGTGTGTAAGGGGAGAGAAGAGGAAAAAGGAGAGTAGGAAAGATCGCGCACGGTCTATTACGTGCTTGTTTGGATATTTCTCCGGTATTCGCCTGGTGGTGATCGGATAAATCGTGGAAAACTACGGATTAGAGCAGCGGTCCGCAAGAATTTTCCGCCAGACAGCGGCTGAATTCGATCTAGCTAATTAGCTGGTGTCGAATGTCCGTCACCGGCGGAGTCTCCTGGAGGAAGTCGCTGCAGCGAGAACGGCTTTAGCACCGAGCCATCTAATACGGTCAGCCGCAAACAAACACCACCTTCCACTGCGCTGAAGTTCTGATCAATATATGTGAATATCTGCCATCATATAATTATCATATTTTACAAACGATCGAATTTATACACACACGGTACCATATCGAATTACGTTTCGACTTTTTTCTTTCTTTATTTTATTTTATTTTATTTTATTTTATTTTATTTTATTTTATTTTATTTTATTTTATTTTATTTTTCAGGTGTCAGCTTTAAAATACAGGTTTATGTTAAATTCACGTTCTGTTAAATTTGTGGATAAACAATACAGCGAGAAGAGAATGAATAAGTGAATGACATTCTTCTCCAATTAATATTATACATCACAACTACATATATAAATAACGCAAATTATTCGAAAATGTACTTATGTTATGAAATGATAATATACAGAATTGGTATACTTTTTGCTTAACCAAACATTAACAGACACAAATATGTAATAATCTGATTTTTTGAGCTAATGTCTACGATAAAAGTAGTAGAAACATCAAAATGATTGTGAAGGCATGCATGATAGTTCTAATGTATAGTCCCGGTTATTAATAAAGTATGATTAAAAATTTTATTTTGACAAAATTCGAGACGAGCTCTAAGTTCCCGTACCCACTAACTACGCCCGGTTAATGTGTCCTCCTTTGTTGAACTTGGGACTCTATAAGCTTCCCAGAAATTCTTTCCAAACGATAATAACTATAAATGAATATACGTAAAATATAAGAAGTAATGAAATTATTATTATATGTATAATATAGGAAATATTTTTTGTTACTTATTTTTTATCTGATTATTTTTTAACATAAACAGTAGAAACATGGCGAGAGAACCATGGAAAGGATGTGTAGAAGAAGAGTTCGTGCAGTTTTAGAAGGAAAAGCCTTAATCCTTTCTTAAATATCGTAATGTAGTACCACTAGTACAAAAGAATTAAGGGCGGAACACATTGAAAAAATTGATGAACTTGCATCGCATCTACCTTCCGTCTTGAAATAAACCATTAAGAGGATAATTTTATTCTTGTGCCATTCCTGTAAGAAAAATGTCTTAATTCAACAATTTAGTATTCTTTCAGAGAAAATGAATATATGTCAGTTGCTGAGAAGTAGGTTCAATGTAACATTATATTCTAAACACTTCTTAAAATAGCAGTTCTCAAGAGAACATCTTACTCCGTGTTATTTACTTGCATATATGCAAGGCTGTTTTCGTTAAATGTGACTCCGTACCACTTTTCGAAATATGAGTAAACTCTTCGTAAGTAGAAACAACTTGAATTTTTCCCAAGATTAATATCCTCTCACACGTGGTCGTTGATCTTGTATCCGCAGCACACCGCTGTCACGGCATTCAAAAATCAATTTAGAAAAATACCGATGGATATAACATGGATGACAATGCGTGTCAGAGAACACGTTTTTTAAAGGACTTTTTAATCCTCACATAAACATTACAGACACAATAATCTACAGGTAAGTAACTACCACCAATTAGGGGGAAATTCTACTACAGAGAAACATGTATAAGGACTCTTGCAACTCTCCTCGGTTGGCGTGTTTTCAGGTAATGGAACACGCACGACTTCAACTTCGGCGCAGAATTTCCAGCTTATTTAAGAAGCCCGAAGCCGCATTTGGATATACTAGTAACTACCTCAAATGAGGATACGTCCGTCGTAATAACTTTAATTAACGAACGGACACAAATGACACGTAAGTGACACTTCTAACATTTATTTTTGTACCCAACATATTTACAAAAAGGATGGCATTACAGAACAAGATAGCATATTGGAAATTTTTTCCATTCTTACATTTAAATTCCTCTAGTACACAATTATTTCTATAATTCCAAGAAATTTCTTTCAGTTTATTGGCTGTTTTTTTTCTTACATCTCTTAATGTTGGTATGACCTCAAATTTTTAACAAAACATATGTAGGACAATTAAATTGTAAACAATATTTTCCGGTTAAATGAACATCGGTTAATTAGAAACAGCCGTTTTTATGCTGATTTTGCGGAAGTATTACATTTAATCAATTAGACCGTACCCTATTTAGTAGGGTTAGAAGAGACCGATAATTCATTTCGTAACATCTTATATTCTAACGCGTTCTAAAAAAGAATAGATTTAACATATTTTGAGAACTGTTCTTGAATGAATAACGATATAATCCCAACGAAGAAAGGGTGTGTAATGTAATTCAATTAACTTCTCTCCATAGCACGTCACTCACCGTTTTTAATTGTTTCTGACGTAAATAAAAAATAAATAAATAAATAAAAAATAAATAAATAAAATAAATAAATAAATAAATAAATAAAAAAATAAATAAATTAAATAAATAAAATAAATAAATAAATAAATAAATAAATAAAATAAATAAATAAATAAATAAATAAATAAATAAATAAATAAAAAATAAATAAATAAATAATAAATAAATTAAATAAAATAAATAAATAAATAAATAAATAAATAAATAAATAAATAAATAAATTAAATAAATAAATAAAATAAATTAAATAAAATAAATAAATAAAAAAATTAAATACATAAAATAAATAAATAAAAATAAATAAAATAAATAAATAAATATATAAATAAATAAATAAATAAATAAATAAATAAATAATAAATAAATAAATAA